TTTACATTGTACTGTCAGAAATTGCTTGACTAGTGAGATATCAATGGTTTCTTTCGCATCCAACCTGTATGAAATACCAAATGTGGTGCCATGATGATGTAAAATGTTTTGAACTAGGAGATTATACTGGGAAGACTGTCATTTCAAATTAACAATTCTTTTGTGTGTTTATCATTGGAACAGATGCCAGTTGCTAGCTTCCAGGATGGCCCTTCTATATATCATCCTCGTGGTAGAAGCTTTGATGATTCTGAACCATTCATGCGAAACAACAAACAGGCTGGTAGAGCTCGTGCCCCGCTCGAGAATAACCTGTTGAAAAGCTTTGCTGCAGACAAGGATAAAACTAGTTCTGTTGCAAAGATCAAAGTTGTGGTGTGTCTTCAACTCCTTTTATCTATTTCATCTATTTGGAGCCAAACCAGTTTGTAGTGCCCGTCAATACAATATTTGCTAGCCGATGGCTTATTTTGAGTTGACAATGTTTATATTTGCTTTGCTAGGCTAGAACACTTTTCTTTCTTCTTTTCCTTCTTCGTCTTTTTTTCCAATCTGAGTAACTCCCTTTGGCTCCGGTGCTTATAATATTTCTTTCCTACGCACAGGTGCGAAAGAGGCCACTCAACAAGAAGGAATTGGCTAAAAATGAAGAAGACATAATAGAGACACATTCTAATGCCCTTACCGTCCATGAGACTAAACTCAAGGTGATTGTTACTCGTTATTAGATACATAAGTAATCTTACATGTACAAATCATGAACACGTTGTAATTGAAGTTTACATCTTATAGGCGGGTAATGGGAATTCCTTTTCGTTTTTGTTTCTTCTTTTTTTCCCCAATTTTTATTGTTGGGGGGGGGGGGGGAGGTTGTCATTCATCTTTTCATGTGTGTATTCTTCTTCATTTTGAGCTTTTGACTGAAACACAGCTGTCATATTGCTGAGAACTGACCTTACTGGATTATATGTTCAGGTTGACTTGACCGAGTACATGGAAAAACATGAATTTGTTTTTGATGCTGTACTAAATGAGGAGGTGTCAAATGATGAAGTGAGTATAGTACATTGTCGAAGTATTGCCAATAGATACAGATGAAATTGCGATCTTTCGCTTATGCTCTCTGGCTTTCTATTTTGGTTATGCAGGTTTACCATGAGACTGTGGAGCCTATAGTTCCTATAATTTTTCAACGAACTAAGGCTACTTGCTTTGCATATGGACAGACAGGTAAACCGTGGTTTTGGACATCTTAATGGACTTGGTCACGTTTCAGAATTCAGATCATCACATGCTACATTCCATTCAAGAAATCATTTCTTTCTGCCTTTCACCATGTAAATGTACTGAGAGTAAAACAAGTTTCCCTCATTCACCTATCTGTTCATCAGAAGTATTGTCATGTGTCGCTTCCCTTGTTCATTTGCTGACAGAATGTGCATCTTGCTAGTTGTTTTCGTTCAAGAGCATTTTGGTTTCCCTCTAGAGTCTGGATATAATTCAACTGTAAATAAAAGATATTCGATTTGCTATAATTGTGAAATTCATGTGTTTTGAATAATAGATCTCAATTGCAGATAACACCTGAGTGTTATTCGTGTAATTCTCACTGTATCTTGTTCGTGTAATATTTTCTTCAGGAAGCGGAAAAACTTACACAATGAAACCATTGCCCCTTAAAGCATCACGTGACATTTTGAGGTTGATGAACCACACTTACCGCAACCAAGGCTTTCAACTATTTTTCAGCTTCTTTGAAATATACGGAGGAAAACTATATGATCTTCTGAGCGATCGGAAGTAAGCTGCATCGGTTCTTCTGATTATTTATCTAGAATTTTTGGCATAAAAATATGCTAGAGTTTCGAAGCTTTGGTTATACATTTGCAGGAAACTCTGTATGAGAGAGGATGGCAAGCAGCAAGTATGCATTGTAGGTTTACAGGAGTATAGAGTATCTGATGTGGAGACAATTAAAGAACTGATTGAGAAAGGAAGCGCAACTAGAAGTACCGGCACAACTGGTGCCAATGAAGAATCGTCCCGATCTCATGCCATACTTCAGCTTGCCATCAAGAGGTCAATTGATGGCAGTGAGTCAAAGCCTCCCCGTGTTGTGGGCAAGCTCTCCTTCATTGATCTCGCAGGAAGTGAGCGTGGTGCCGATACTACCGACAATGACAAACAGACAAGGTAATTTACCCTCTGTTTCATGCCACATGTTAAGATGTCCTCTCCTTTAGACAATTATTATCAGGTCATTGTGCGTGTATGGACACGGAAAAGTGACAACACTCAACTAGTCTATCGCATTAAAACAATTTATGTGATTTTCAGATGGTATGAAATGATGATTGAAATGATTTACTGTCGCCAATGGAAAAGTGCTTATGTTATATTCTTAGCCATGATATTTTGAGATAAAAAGTACCGCCTGTTTATAACACTATCCATGTGCCAATTTGTGGATAACTTTTCTGATATGATAATTGTACTAGAGAATGTTGTTTCATTTCGTTGTTGTATTGACTGCTTTAATGGTATGAGCAGAATGGAAGGTGCAGAAATCAATAAGAGTCTACTTGCGCTCAAGGAATGCATTAGAGCTCTGGACAATGACCAGGGTCATATTCCTTTCAGAGGCAGCAAATTAACTGAAGTTCTCAGAGATTCTTTTGTCGGCAACTCTCGCACTGTCATGATATCCTGCATTTCTCCAAGTTCCGGTTCTTGTGAGCATACTCTCAATACCTTAAGATATGCCGACAGGTAAAATACCTAAGCAGAGAATTGTGGCTTGTAAAGGTTATGTGATTGTTTTCAATCGATTATAGCTTCCTACAAATTGTTCTCCAGGGTGAAGAGCCTCTCAAAAGGAAGCAATCCTAAGAAGGATGTACTGTCTTCAACTATGAATCTAAAAGAATCAATTACCTTACCTTTGTCATCTGTTGCATCAAATGCTTCCAACTTTGAGGAAGATATAACCACCTCTTGGCCAGAACAGACAGGTGGAGATGATTATGATGTGTCAGAAGAATTTTATGAACCAGAGAGAGCACAGTGGAAGAGGAACAATGGGAAACTCGAGTCTTTGAATCGCGTCACTTCAGAAGAAAAATTACAGAAATCTAATTTCACCCAGACAAAGTGGAAGGACCAGCAGAGATCAGATGCTAATAACTCTCATTTTAGCGATGATTTAGATGCTCTTTTATGGGTAAGTGCACTGTGACAGTTATGCTTGACTAATAATAGAAGTTTGTCCGGTTCCAAAGCTTCTGTACATGCTTTCAGGAAGAGGAAGATCTGGTGAATGCTCACCGTAAACAAGTGGAAGACACAATGAATATTGTCAGAGAGGTATTATTTTATTGATTTAGCAATTTTCGCAAGCTCAGTGAATGCTGAGATTGATACTCACTGCATTTGTCTAGTGCACTTTCAGCATGGAGTAGCTAGTCCAAAGACGGAGTTTGTGATGTAACCAGATGTTTTAACGCCTTTAATTACGTTACTGGAAGGCTCAATATTCTCATGTTGTCATTTGGAAATATGTCACAATTTCCACCATCTGATTTTTCTTATTATGCATGTACTGTTGGTGATTCTTGCTAGATATGTGGAGCATGTACCCTCCAATATATATTAAGTATGTGAATGCATGGATAATTTAATATATCAAATGAATGACCATTGATTGTAATTATTTTTTCAGGAGATGGACTTACTAGTGGGAGCAGACCAACCTGGTAATCAGCTAGATGATTACATCACTAAATTGAATGCCCTCCTTGCTCAGAAGGCTGCGGGCATCCGTCAACTGCAAACCCGCTTGGCCCATTTTCAAAAGCGTTTAAAGGATCACAATGTCTTGGTTTCTTCTTCTGGTTACTAGTTTCCTGTGGAAATCACCCAGCCCATTGTTCCTACGAAGGTATATAAGGCAGGATATTGGCTCGACTGATGGTTTGGTCGTCCAATGTTTGGTCAATACTCACAACGTGGGTAGGAAGTTGGGAGACCTTTTCTTTTATTGGTCTCTCCTGCAGTTCATTGCTGCCCGGATTGGATTTCTGTATCTCTGATGTTCTTCAACCGGATTTGAGGTTGGAGCATCTTTCAGGGTTAAGCATTTGATAATTCTGTATCTCTGATTTACAGGGAGTTTGACCATGTCCTAATGTACTGGAGGTATGGCATGCGCTGTAAAGATGATCATTTCTCTTATTTGATTATCAAATGATTTTTTTGTAGCATTCGCAAATTGATTCGAGAGGTGTCTGCATTTTAATGCCAATGATATGGCTTGTTTAGCAGTCATTTAGTTCCATAAAAACCATTAATACCTATGCAGTAAACGTCAAGCGCCAGGTACGCATATAACAAAACCTCAACAAGCTGATGGGTCGTGATGTGATGAGATCAGATGAAATTGTAACAGGCTTGTTATCAGATGTTAAATTCTTCTGTTTCATCGTCATAAAACTATGCCTTCGTATCCATGTCTTGAAGCTGAATGAGCCAATGGATGGATCTATTGACTGTCATACGCTATTTATGCAGTCGACCTAGCCCGACTTGCAATGTCAAAATGGTCTCATAATTATAAGCCATTGGCTCTTACTTCCGTGATGAGCTCAGCAGTTCAAGAAATGGATGGTTTAAGTGCACGAAACTGGTTTGATAAACTCTATGTTCAACAATGAACTCGTCGATTTCATAGTAAGTTCATCTTTTTGCATTACCAGATACTAATCACGTTGAAAAGTGACTAGGCTATATGAAAAATTCACTTTCTACTATCATGGGTTTTCTAAGCGTACCTTTTTATATAAGATTAACCAATCAAATCTAAAAATTACAAACTTTTAAGCATGATTGTCTGAAATTCCAAAGACGCCTTGAAAACTAGAAGATCACATAGGCCACAAGGGAGAAACTTCTTTTTCTAGTGTAGATGACAGACTGAAGCAATAAAAATTTGTAAAGAGTAGAGATCTAAAAGTGCCAGATGACAATCCATATTTCATGGTTCGCAAATCCCGCATTCAAATGATAAGATAAAATCCAAAAAGAAAAAAGAAGGATAAATCAAAATCCTATGCACAAGAAAGGAAGGGGCCTATCATGATACAACGAGTCCAATCTAGAACCTCACAGACCCAAGTCTCTTTTTGGATTTGGTGGTGCTGCGAGAGGGTTGTTGTGGAGTCGGAGAGAAATCAGAGTACATGTCCATGAAGAACTTGTCAACTATCTCTACATAGACAGGGCTCTTGAGGCGCGAGTAATAGTGCAGTGCCTCCTCTATGTCCAACACATGATCCATGTCACTCGTGTCCATCATCTCCAACTCTTTCATTCTCTTTGCCAACACTAACCCTCCTGCATTCACTCCATCTGTTTCCTCTGTTTTCACAGACTTGGAACCACCCACTTTCTTCTTCATCTTCTTCTCGGTCTTTCCTCTCTCTCCTTCCACTTCTTGTTGCTTGTTCTTGACAGGACTCTGGTGGTTCACATGCCTCACAGCTGTCTCACTGCATGGATCTTCACAATCCCTCACCTGCTCTTTGGCATCCTTCTGAATTCTGGCCCTGCCTTTGCCAAGATCACACTCCCACTCATTGCAGAAATCAGCATAGAACTTTTCTATCTGGGGGTCTTTCTGTCTGCTGCTACCACAAGAAAATGGGTGGAAAGAGGGTGGTTTGGGCAGCTTTTGGTAGCCTCCAAATAAGATAGACTCGAGATTCACAAGGGTCTTGTTGAAGAAGTTCTTGGTTTTCTCAATGGAGTCTCTTAGCAACATTTCTACACAGAACTGGGGGGTTTCTTCTTTTCGCTCCTGTGATTTTTTCCAGTGTTTTATATGAGTATAGTGATAAGGGGGAGAGCAGAAATGAGAGATGATGACAGATGAAAGTTTCTCAGGGTTACCTGGAGACGCAGGCAATAGGAGTCTTTAAGAGATTTTTCTTTTCTGGGCTCTCTCGTTTTGTCTCCACACAAGAATTTTGTCCGTTTGCTTTCTCATTCTCTCTGTCTAGAAAATGCCCTTCTTAAATTGTTGGTGACCGTCTGATCAATTTGATCAGAGGTCACAGTACCACATTTATGAAGGCTTAAAGGCCTTAGCAGTACAGTCCACCAAGCAGAAGATTGCTTTAGTAAATGTTATGGACATTGTAATATTTTTTAGCAAAAAGATACATGAAATTTAGTGTTAAAGAGGCTCGCGACGTCTCCAGCGGTAATCATAACATCTTTTGTTTTTGACTGCTGGTTTGTCTAAAGCTCAGTGGCATTGATTAAGATGCAAAGATAAAGGCAACAGAGTTGGTAAAAGCTAATTATTCAAAAGCATGGTCTTTATTTTAAATAAATACATCCATGCATACATATATTCAAGCACTTCGGTGCTGGGATCCATTTTTGGACCCAAACTCACTGAATGGTCATCATCAAGAATTAAATAGGCCTATCTTTTGCTGATACGGAACTTGGCCCGAGGGATAGCCTTGAAGTTATTGAGCTACACTTACAAGTCAGAGCAATGGAGTACTTCCAAGATGAAGATATGATTTTTCATCTACAAAACAACACATCATAACATGAGATAATCATCAGGTCAGTAGGGAAAACTCAGTTGCTAAAAATAATTTATGTTCTTCCCCCTTCAGGCTAGACAATTATGAAGAGGTGGTGATGAGTTCCAAACCAAGAACCTCTTGGGACTTGGTGGTAAGAATGGGCACTATATTTCTTAGTTGCTGCGTCTAAGGGAAAAGCGACCAAAGTGAAAATTACCGCACTTTATAGTAGTGAAGGTCCATGAACCCTAGTTGGGGACCAAATCCTAGGTGTTTGAGGATAAACCCATCACTAATATCCTGCATAAGGGTCACTTTCTCACCAGTTGCCGTGCTAAAAGTTCTCTACCAAGCTCACACAGGCTAAGAAATATGTAAACAATGATCTTGAGACCTCTTTTTGGAAGTTAGACACGATGATCAAGCTTGTATCCTAAATCTTTTCCATAGTGGAATTATTTTGCTAGCCAGACTCAAGTTGCGTGGACCCAATTTATCAATTACAGTTGTCTGGGATAGCTTTATGTTAATCCCATATGACCCAACTGTGCCGGACGAAGTTCATGCTTGAATCAAGCTTTCTTCTATTAAATGGCACATCTTGATCTTGTACCAAAGAAAAAGGCCAATGGTGTTGCAGTAAATGGGCTATTAATGCGCCTTTAATGAGGAAGTAAGAAAACCCAGAGAAAACACTGAGTCGGCTGATATCTGCAACCAAAGACAGCAAGCCTTTATTTATTCTGCAGTTTTTTCATCTCGACAATATTACTTTTCCTTTCCAGGCTAAAGCTTCAGAGAATGCACGTGCAGTGATGGACACAACACTTTCTCATTCATTTATGTTCACCATCGATAAATAAACAATTCACGTTATATTTACCATCTCATTGACATCAGATGATAAGCAAAATAAGTGAAGTAAGGTAGGGTATACGCGATAAATAATGAAAACACATACTCTGACAAGCTTTGTAGCCGCAGAAGTCAATCAACTAGAGCCAGCCTATTGTCTCTAGCATTACATGGCTCTTGGAGGAAGTTGGCATTATGGCCAAAGAGAACGATTTGATGGGGCCATATTTTTCTGAACAAATTAAAGTACAAATTAAGAACGAGGCAGAGCGACCAAACATTGCATGGTACTGGCCTTAATGACATATTAGACAATCTCAATCCTCAGTAGTTAATCATACTTGGATTGGAAAGTTCCTTACACTAGATCAGTAGCTCCTTGACTACTGTGGCCTTATGTTTTGAGAGGAGAAAGAAAGAGCTTCTCTACCGCTCTATTTAACGAAATGAGTTATTATCTGTGACTATAATCAGTGTGAGAGATGCATTGCCACTGGGATTTTCTTTCCATCAACCGCATCATCCAAGAATTGCCAAAGTCGCTGGCAGAATCATGTCGTAGCAGCCAAACCCAACAGATGCAAGATATCCGGAGTATATGCTATGTACACTCCATCAAGTCAAGGCAGCATTTGAAAAAGTCAGAGACAGCAGCATCTCATTTATTCTTATGACCACCTTTTCTCCTGTTGAACTTGAAAAACTGATGTAGCAACCTATGAACTTCACCATAGTTGTTTGTCCTTGGGACAAGACTGTCCTTGATCCATTTTGGAAGCTTGTCAGTTGGGCATGGATTACTTCTTTTTAAGGGATCCGACGCATATCGTTTGTCAACCAACAAAATTGCTGCATAATCATCTGCATGTCGGATGGCTCTACCTAAAAGACAGTGAACAAAGAAGTAGAGTCAGTTCTGGATAGAATTTCTCAGAGGTGTATAAGTAAACAAAAGAGGTTTGTTTTTTCCATCACCAAGTAAAAACCAGGAGATTGGTATGATACTTCAAAAGAATTTGCTAAAGGGGGCGATGCGAAGCAGTGCAACTTCATCGAGGACCAGAAAATGCAAGCAGAATCATCTTAGATGGTTTGTGACATAGAGTCATAGGCATAAAGCAAAACCTTTTAATAAGTATAATAGAATCTAGAATGAAGATGAATATTATCTGAACATCTATATTACTAAAATAATATCTCTGACGTGAAATGAAGAGTACAGTCTATAAAACTTCTTCAATCTAGAAATACAAGAAAGGACCATGAAGCTCACTTAGACATCATTGCAGTTCAGCAATTGAGCAATTTTTAGAACATAGAGGAGTTAGAACATACCAATTGATTGATTTACAGCTTTGAAACAAAGATTTTCATAGTACTCCTTTCCTCTGTGGCCACAGCTTCTCAGAATGTTGAATCCAGCTTGAACATCTCCCACGTAAAGCTCATCACTGGACAAGCTGAGATTTGAAATAGCATTGCCGTCTCCTAGACCCTCAATATGTTTCACCCTCTCCATTAATTCTATGTCGGATGGGTTAGGGTAAGGCAATCCAACCATAACAATGCATCGACCCATCCCATCACTGAAGTTGATGCCCTCTGATACCTTTCCACCAACTACGGCTAAGAATAGTGCACCATTTTGAGGAGCTGCATCTACCAAATTGCACTGAGCTAAATTATTAATACTCACCTTGTATTTTTGGAGAACCAATTCTACATCTGTGTTTTTCCTAGGCTCCCTAAATACCCACTTTTTCTTCTGTATCCTGTCAAGAATGCCAGAACCCTTCCATGCATTATACACCTGTTCTTCATATTCAAATGAAGAGAAGAACACGACAATTCCTTCAGGAACTACAGAGACCAAATTGCAGAGTAACAGCCCCAGCTCCTCTATCTGAAAATTAGAAGTCATCAACACATTTTTTAACAGCGGCCACTAAGAGCACCTTCCAGGAACTAAGCAGTCAGATAACTGCAAATAGACTGTAAATTCCTAAGCACCATGATGTTTTTGCCAACTCAGGACAAAGTTCGAATACCACTGATTTATTAGGAAACAGGAGAATGATAACGGTACCTCCTTCAACTAATTGACAGAGATACTTAGATCACTAGCACATGAAACCAGTTTCATTGTGAACGACTGATGGAAAGGATGAAGTTTACTTACCATGGCCAAGGAGCTTCTTGTGCTGTAGCTGAAATCCAAAACCCGACCAGAAGGACCACGAACGACCGCAACTGGTAAAATGCTTTCTGGAGGAACAATATGACTGCAAGAAAAGAAGTTCAACTTCTCCAAGGATAACCATGGAAACAGGCGTTCTCTTGTTTCTTCTATAGGTTGCAAGGTACCTCCAGCCAATATGACAGCATGGGCCTGATCTGCAATCTACAAAGGTAATAAGTTTAGCTTTGTGGCATCTAAATGTTCACCAGGAAAATCAGGCATGTGAAGCGAGCAATTTATAGCAGACCTCAGAGAATATCTTCTCTCCAGTGAGCATCACATATTTGACATATCCACCTTGTCGCCCAGAGAGTGTTTTTCTAGCCTTTGACACAATTATCCTTCCATCGGTGTTCTTATTGGTAAGAGATAACAACATATCTGCAAATGCTCGGAAATTGGATAAAGTGCTCATATCCTCTCCATAAGACTCACTATCATCAAAGGTGGAGCTTGCTCGCAGAGTTGACATTCTATTGCCATACCCACAGACCTAGGATAATATAAGAACGAAATACTAGACAAATCTATTAGAGAACAAGGAAAAAGAAAGGCACTAGGAAAGCAAAACAATAAGCTAGGGACAACTTTTCACCTTGTGAATGATATTGCTTTCCTTTAAATAATGCTGCAACTTAACAAAATTTATGTTGTCTATATTTAGAGTGAATAGAAAATCATTGATGGCCATAGAAGAGGCACTGGTAATTTTTCCTGCAGAAAGATTATCTGCATTTTCGGATGTATTCAAATTATCTCTACTCTTCTCATTTAGAGCTCCCAAGAAAGCCCGAGTAATGACCATCAGTGTTTGGATGTATCTCCGATTACCAGGACCCAAGAGATTGAAGAATCTTTCTAGGTACACCTCTAGATGGCAATGCACATCCTCCAGCTGTAAAAGACAATGAACTGAGTATAATTAAGTTGCTATGCAGGTAAAAGAATAGCCATGAAAAGCTTCCTACGAAAAGAGTTCCATTAAGACTATTTTGGCTTCGGTATTAGATGCCTAGTCTATGTTTGCATATGTAAGTTGTTGATCTCCACATATGCATACTGATAAGCAAGGCTGTTCATCAACCTATCACTATAAAGCAAGGTTGATTGTTGCCTTAAGGTTGATAAGAAAAAGATGGTCAATCTATGTAGAAACAATCAACATTTAGTCATGACCTGTTGGTAGAACTAGAACCCATGTTGATTAATTGAACTTGCACAGTAACAGCCAAGATTCTTTATTCACTCACCTGTGACAAGGTCATTTTTGCATCATACATGCTGATGAGTGAATCAGCCAAATTGTGAGCCTCATCAATAATAACAACATTATTTTTCAAGTTTAGTCCAAGAGACTCTCGAGAAGATTTTGATAGAAGAGACTGATATGGGAGAACCACAAGATCAGCAGCAGGGACCATGCTTCTGGCACCATAGTATGGACAAGTCCTCAGAGAACTCCCAAGGTGAACTAGTTCTTCAATGTCTAAGGCCCCTTGTTGAGATAACTGTTCCCTGAATTGCCTCTGTAGTTTGTGTTTCCTAAGCATCGGGCATCCAGAAACTGCCTTTGTCCGCCTCATTCTTCCTTCGCCTAAGTTCTGAAATGTTATAAAAAAAGCAATGTTGTGGCTCAGAGTGCTGGTATAGTTTATACCACGTTGAAATAATAGCTGAAAAAGAAATGGACACACAACAGAAGTGGTGATGGCACTCAAACTGGGGGAAAGTATGGTCAAAGAAATTCTGGCTTTTGACAACTGTAGCTTTTGGAAAGGTGATGTAGAGATTCAAAGCTTAGCAGGAAATATGCACACTTTTTTCTTCCTTCATTTAGAATCTCAAGTTGTGCAACGTAGCTAATTTGATGGATGAGCTAGATCCAAAAACATCAATATGAGAATAAAAGTACAACAATTTACAAACATATGATACCTTGATTTTAGAGACATCATTTTTCTTTTTCTTTTGAAGCTCCAAGCACCGTTCATTGATACGAGTAGAGTTCCTGAGTTTTAAAACCTCTGAAAGACCCTCCATCAGATAAGTATACAGTACAAAGCACAAAATGGTCTATTCCATATATTATCATGCTAAGTACCTTCATTGATGCAGAAGTTCTTCCTGGAGCCTAAGCACACAGCGCTTATCTCATCTGCAAAAGCAGTCTTTCTTAGCTCTTTTACAAACTGTGAGAGCTGAGAATGCGTCCGACTACAAAAGTAAATCTTGAGACCCTCTTCCTCCTCATCATCAGAACCTTTTGGCGCTTCATCCTCATCACTTGAGGAAGTAATAGAAACCCCACCAACCTTTCTCTTTGATCTTCCACCAATAACGCTCTCTCCCTCTTCACTTTCGTATTCCTCCAACAAAAACTCGTTATCATTTGATTCCACTGCAACTTTCTTACTTTGAATTTTCTCACACCTTTTCATGGTCTCAAATCTTTCCTTCTTGGCACTCTTAGAGATAAACTCTCCACAGCTTTCACCATTCCCTCTCTTACCATCTCTGGAGAGTAAGTCTCTGTTACTTTCTCCCTTCCCTCTTTCACCTTTTTTGCGGAATCCTCCTCCAAACTTCACTTTCTTCTTATCCTCGCCTTGGTTTTCCTTATCGTTGACAAAATTTCTCATCCAATCGGGATCATCATCAGAACCAAGATTGGACGCAGACTGCACACCATCATTATCAGATCCAACTTTAACTTTGGACTTCTGCTTTTCTTTCTGATCGACTAGCCACTGCAATGCACTGCAAATGATGCTTAAGGTTTTACCAGTTCCTAGAAGCACCAAAAATTCTTATCAGCAACCCAAAACTGTGAGCAGAAAATGAAGTTAGAAAAGATAGTACTAGACCCATAAGTATCACTACCATCACAGACATAGGCAAGCAAAATTCCTGAAAGACACCCATCAAAAGAAGATAAGTCCACTGTCTAACCTAACTAGCTGCAGATTTAACCAGCAGAAAGAAGAAGATAATAAAAAAGGTAAAAATAAGATCTTGAACGTGCTTTCAGATATTACATCTCGTACTCAGGAAACATGCGAACACCACAAACCCGTCCAGGCCAACTTCATGAGAGCGGTCAAGATTCAGCATTCCTTTCCTATCGATGCCAGAGGTACGAGGCAAGCGAAACGACATTTCACAAAACAATCAGCTCATCACGATGTCTATTCGCAATCCTAAAATCGGAAATCAGCACAACAACCTCAGCTCACGCACGAATCCCTCGCCCGAACAACGAATGACGCCCTCGCTCGCAATTAAACATCGGCTGAGATGAGTAAACATCGCGCCAGTTCCAATTCGAATGACCCGCACCAAACAACAGCAAGCACGTAACTCACTCGAAGTCGAAGATCACGGAACGAGGAGGAAGAGAGAGCGATACCCGTGGGGCTCTCGAGCATGGCGATGCCGCCTCGCTCGAGAGAAGAGTAGAGCGCGTCCATGAAATCGACCTGAATCGAGTACGGCTCGTACGGGAACGCCGGAAACTTCCCACCTCCTCCTCCTCCTCCTCCTCCCTTTCGCATCTCCTTCTCCTCCGCCACCTCCACCGGCTGCTCAGCTTCCGCCGCCGGCGAACCCATCGATCCCGAACAAAACTGTAAAGTGTAAACGGCGGCGACGGTGACAGAATCGCGCGCGCCTTGGGCGGGGGGTGTCTTTGGAGGGAGACGTTTGTCTTCCCGCCAGAGCGAGAGAGTGGGCCGAGCGAACGCAACAATGGGCCAAACCCAGGCCCAATTAAATACATGGGCTTGGAGACGGCCCAATTGTAGGCCCATTGTCTGCTCTTAGTCTCTTTCCTCTCCGATGCAAACCCTAGAGACCTCCACTTTCGCTCTCGACGAAATCTTCTGAGATATAAAACCTTCTTCGCCCGCCGCTCTGCATTTCTTCACCAGACGGCTTAGGGTTTCTCCTTCGTCCTCCTCCGCAGCGCCATGGTAAGATCTTCTGGCTCTTCCATCTCCCTTCTCTCTCTCTCTCTCTCTCTCTCTCTAGCTTGTGCATGAAGTGAGATCTTCCTTTGGCTGATGGCGAATTCACTGAGAAAGACGATGTTGCGAATGCTTGTCTATGCAGGGTAAGGGAACGGGGAGCTTCGGTAAGAGAAGGAACAAGACGCACACGCTGTGCGTGAGGTGTGGACGGCGCAGCTTCCACCTCCAGAAGAGCCGCTGCGGTGCCTGCGGCTTCCCGTCCGCCCGCAAGAGGAAGTGTATGTATATGCTCTGTGTTTTGTCTCTTTAGAATTTGATCGGAGCAAATGGCGTGCGCTTGTGATGGGTGTTCTCGTATCTTACTGTTCTTCATGTCGTGCTCCGTTAGTGCGCGTAGAGCTCGAGCTGTGTCTGATCTAGTTGCTTATCGATGTATGGGGAGACAAGGAAGGAGGGAAGTTCGAGTGTGAGGAAGCCAATGAGGGAATCAGTCCAGTGATTGAGTCGATTCGATGCGCGAAGTATCTGATTGTTCATGCGTATAGGCTTATTTTAGTTTGCTTGCAAGGGTGAAGTAACATTTGGTGGGTGAATTCATTGTCTAGAGTTTGTGGGTGTGTATGAGTGGAGATCTTGTCATAATTATAGTTGTAGGAAAATTGAAGTGATAGCAAACGTCAGTGCTCTTGTACCGAAAGGAAAAACATCAGTGCTCAAGAGAGAAGAAGTATGAAATTATCGGTGGGTTATATATCTTTACATGGCGAATGGACTCAGAACTTTTTGTTTGCAATGTAGTGAAGAGCTGTCTTAACTGAGATTACATTAGTCAATTGTGTTGCTTCATTGTGATTCTAGTTTCATCTCTGACTTCCTGATGAAGAAATCTTGCTTCACCTCAATGTATTCTCTCTTTTCTGTGGTGGGGGAAGAACAAAAGGTAATTGACTTTCGGTTGGGTTTTGCACAAATAGAAGAGAGATTGTGCTCTAAAGATGGTTCTCTGAAAAGGAAATTATGAATATAGAAATTGTCATGTACAAATTCTTCAATGTAGGTTAGGTTCTGCTGTTTGCTCTATGTCTGCTTTTGCTCTCTCTTTGAGCCATAGATGTTGTGAGCTTGTGATGAGGTTGCTTATTGTTTACTTTCTTGTGATAGCTTATAGCAAGTGCAAGTCTTCTTTTCTCACCTTGAGTTGTTTTTAATCACTGTTTTTAGATAACTGGAGTGTGAAGGCAATCCGAAGGAAGACCACAGGGACTGGTAGAATGAGGTATCTCCGCAATGTTCCTCGCAGGTTCAAGAGTGGTTTCAGAGAAGGTAATGGGCTTCGCTATTACGTTATTTGATTGTCTTTGCAGATAATGCTATTTTTTGTGCTTGGTGATGGTTTTGTGTTTTTTTTTTTTGCTTTTGTGCTGACTTATGGAGCTGATGGTTATAATGCAGGTACCGACGCAGCGCCAAGGAAGCACGCAGCAGCAGCTACTGCTTAATTGTTATGATGGTTTTGAGGCACAATCATGTTATTCGGAAGGATTTAGTTATTGATATCTGGACGCAGGGAACTTTTGGCATATACAGTTGCCCTTTTAATTTGCTTTGTTTTTGTTTCATCTACTGTGGCATTGTTTACAATTTTGAATGAACAGAGATCAAGCCTACTGTGGTTCTACAACTCAGTTTAGTGTTTCTTCAGTTGAAGTTCCTATTATTATTTTCTTCTTTTTGTGCTCATGATAGGATTTCGAAATCAAAATACTAGAGTGACAGTTTAAGCCAATGTTCGTTTTTGCAAGAATTGTCACATCAGTAATTGGGCCGCCTCTCATAACAGATCACATATGTTATTGGCGAATGCCTCTTTGGTTTAGCTTATCATTAGCAAATATGTATAATTTTGGAAGGTACAGTTGCATATCATGGTGTGCAAGCTTTGAGGTCAAGTCTGTGGAGCGGCCCGTGGCCAACAACAATAGACATTTTCAGTTGGTGGTTGTGGATTATTAGTGGCTCTTGCTTGGAGCTTGTTGTAGTTTGTGTTGAGTTTGTATGAGATTCATATTAAGCTGGTCGGATTTAGTGCTTGGTGTTGCCCCTTGTAGGTTTTGCTAGAAGGTGATAAAAGAATCGTGTCGTGTGATGAAAGAAAGATGAATTTGAGAGGTATCCATGACCTTGACCTCTTAGCTTTCTTTTTACCTAGGTGGCCTATGCAGAATCTGTCTTTAATGGCGGTTTTACTTTTGTTTGATAAGAGGCTAGTTTTTGTTCCTATGCGCAATTATCATATTACCCATTACTCAAAAGATGTGGACAGTGTACTCATTTGGGCTCTCTAGGTCATATCCCGTACTTAAACAAGTTGCAGAAACATAGGCTTGGCTGCCGTTGCCTTGAGATGTAAATGATCGTGCGAGAGCTACTTCAGCATTGTTCATCATTCTTTGTCGACCAGACAATAGCTTTGGTTCATTCGTGTTTCGGAGCACGAATTTGATTGGTCGTTACTATCCTGAACTCTGATAGTGTTTCTTAAGGCCCATCGTAGGTCCGAGAGCACATGGAATGATTGATCTTTCAAGAGGCTTGATCGTGGAGACGAGTCGAAACATGTGCATCATCAAGTCCAGAGGGCAACTCAGGGATAACGACACTGGAAAACTTTCGTGAGCACTTAGCTCAGCCACGAGTCCAGATGTTTGAATACACTTGATCCTGCTCTATACGACACTAGGATAACAGCATTTTATATAAAAGTTGTCCATGAGAGCCTGAAGATGAATAGACTATAGTGGTCCAATAGAAATTTGTCCAAAAAATTTTAAGTCAATAGAAAATTATCCAAAAAATTCTAAATCTATATTATGGCGTTCAATTCAATTCTAAGATTTTCAATTTGATCAATGTAGTTCTAAATCTTTTGACGATTTGCTAATTTTGATTGGAAATCGCTAATGACTTTGAACAATTTTTGTGATTTTTAAGATTTTCTTTTTTTTCTTTTCTTATTTCCTTATTTCCCTTTGCTAGGCACCGGCAAGGCCCAGCAAGGGTCACCCGAGTGGCTATGGGCAAGGGTTGACCTCACCAGCCACCCCTCGCCTAGATCTGGCGAGGGCGTCGTAGCCATCTCGGACACCCAGCGACCAACGGAGGAAAAATGGAAAGAAAAAAAATGAAAAAATTTGCAAAAATGCAATTTCCGACCAAATTGACAAATTATCAAAAGGTTATGAATTGGCCACCGTATGATAGGATTAAGACTTTTAGATAATTTTTCTGGTGATCCAATCATATCATAAAATGTTAGGCCGTTGGATTACCAGCGAATGACCCAGATAATTTGAAATGAAAATGAAGCAAAATATTGAAAAGCACCTAAGTATTGACGTAATTGATGTTTGAATTCGCTTTTCTAAAATCATAGTTGAGATGTGGCTAGGGATTCAATCTATAGAAAGTCCCATTTGTCGAGTGCCTTTGGTCACATATAACAAATGAAATGTATTCTCCGGCTAATAACGTGTATCAAAACATCATGTGCGAACGCAATAAAGTCAAGATATGATAAGATTCTCCATCACTTAGCCCTAATGTATTTCTTTTTGCCAAATTTAGCTCTAATCAAGATGATGCATAATGAGCAACCAACGCGTGGGGTTGCAACCAAGAAGAAAGGGATTGAATCTCAATGGAAATTGCATACCGCTCTTACATTTGTTACCATCGCAAAACATAAATCAACCCCGCTTTTTAAATGATAAATTCAGAAAATTTTAAAAAATTACAAAGATTTCGTGCGAAGCTGTGCAGATCATTTGACTGGGACACTCGTTAGGGCTTTGGTAAGATTCATGTATTTTTCAAATTTTCCCTTCTTTTTAGCAGCATTTAAAAATCTGATTTTTTTTTTACCTCAACGTCGAACACTCGAAAATAAGCTGCCCGATTTTTTTCTGGCTGCTGAAATGAAATATCCAAAAGAAAATATTTTTCCGCGTGATAGGATAGAAGAATGATTTATTTGGGCGCACTTTGATTCAAATCGGACAGGATGTCAGACAAAAGTGCGTGCGTCCACGTGGACGTGGCCCATTCCCTTCCCCCCCTCCCTACTTTTTTCTCTTCCATCCAGACAAAAGGCTTCACGAGACTCATCGTACGATGTAATCTCCAGACATCACACGCCGCCGTTTTCTCCCGTTAGCGCGTCAAATTGTTGTACATCTCTCTCGTGTGGCCAAAAAAGATGGAATGCTCCTCCTTCCATTAGAAATTGTCCGCTATTATATATATATACACACACCTATAGAAACGTCGGATGAAAATTGCGAAATTTAACTCTCTCCGAATTTTACGGATTTTATTTTTCTTTTTTTTCCCCTCTTAATGCTTACTAACGATGCTGGATAAATTTTTTTTTGTTAACTTAGATTCCATTTATCTCGTGAAAAATGAATGATTTGAAAAATATTTTATGAAAAAACGATAGTTTGTATTGCTTATATAAATGATTGAACGGAAAATATTTTTATCGTCCGCGAAAATATTTAGACATAAATTTTTATTTGATAATAAAAATATTTTCCGTCGATTAATTATTTAGGCATAAATTTTTCTCGAAATAAATGGAATTTTCAATTTTCAAGCTTTGGTATTTGTTAATTTAATAAGGCTAACATCGTTGCGGAATGTGATGGAAGAGTGCATGCTAAGCTCAGCGCTGGGACCCACTTCTTGCCTTTTCTTTTTTTTAAAATCCTCACAACCAGAAAATATTCTGTCTTAGCTTTTCAGCTCTCACTCATTCCCACACCAAACACGACCGTCCTACACTTTCCTGAAGCCAACAACAGAGAAATTAAGGAAACCCCGAGCAACATCGGACGCATCGAGCTCCCCCCGGCCCTGCCTCCGATGTCGTCATCGCCGCCGGCTTCCGCTCCGGCGGCGGCCAACGGCTCCTTCACCCCGCCTCCCCCGCCGGCGAGCACGGTGCCCTCCACGGGCACCTCTCCTCCGCCTCTCCCTCCACCGGCGCCGACCCTGCCGGCGCCTTCGAACGGGTTGCCGCCGGGGGCGATGGCGGCGCTGATAGTGGGGATCGGGATTGGGGGGCTGATTGTGCTGATTGGGGTGGGCATTTTCGTGATCTTTTATCGGAGGAGGAAGAGAGGGCGGCTTGAGCTGGGGAGTTACCCTGCACAAGGGCCTAAAGGTGAGTTTTTATTCTTGAATGCGAGCTTTTGAAGTTCGTAATTTGTTCTTAATTTTATGGTTCTTCAGCTAGCTAGAAATGAACTTGGTTCTGAAATGAGGATTAGTCATGGGGCTGGAAAAAGTTAGATCTTCTGTTGTTTTCAAGACCCTGAGTTGTGAATCCTACGCTTTGATTGTGTCGATCGCTTATATGCTTCTATGAGTTCATTCTAGGATCATAAAGTTGTAAATTTTGGAAGTGCTACTCGGGTCTCTCTCTGAATTTCTTGTTTGCCGGTGGGATAATTGATGCATTCTATATATTGCTTGTTGGGAGGATTAAACTATCACTAGAATGCTGTCTATCGGGTCAGACAATTTTCCATAATTCCAAGAATGCTTTTTCAATATTGTTAAACCTGGTAGAGCAGGGCAAAATGAGTCAAACCTACATAGAACATAGTAGTTGGCTCCCTGGATGATACAAGAGAGCTCTGTGGCAACGGGCGTGAAATTTCTTTCATGTGGCTGTTCGTGCATTCTCATTCCGCTTTCTAGCTTCCTTCTTAGTGCTTTTCACATTACTAATATCTGTAAAGACAAAGCACTCATTTCCCATCAAATAATTAATGAGGAATGCAGTAGCTGAGGGCTGAAGCTATATACATGCTGCTTCCTATAATTCTCCGACAACTCAAATGCTTAGTTTTGCTTTTGTACATTAATCTCTTGAATATCTATATGTCTTCCAGGATAATTTGATGCCAATTTCTTTTCGGATAATGATTTTTAAGTGCCTATAAGTTATCGGGTTAAAAGTATGTCATCTTCCATGCAGATGACCCTTCTGGTAGCCCAGCTCAGCCTTTTCAACCTAATGTTGCTCCATCATTTGACAAAGTTACAAATTGGCCAAAGCCTACTCCTCCGCCACGAATTTTGTCCAGTTCGCAAGGTCCGACTTCTTCTGAACAGTTCTCAACAACAGATTTGGGTTCAGTACCATCTCCAGGCATGGCATTAGGTCTTTCACAGAGCACATTCTCGTACGAAGAGCTAAAAATAGCAACAGATGGTTTCTCTAATTTCAACTTACTTGGCCAAGGTGGTTTTGGCTATGTTCATAAGGGAGTGCTTTCGAGTGGGAAAGTAGTTGCAATCAAGCAATTAAAAGCTGGGAGTGGACAAGGGGAGAGGGAATTTCAAGCAGAGGTTGAGATCATTAGCCGCATCCATCACAGACACCTTGTAACCCTTGTGGGTTACTGCATTTCTGGTGCTCAGAGAATTCTTGTATACGAGTTTGTTCCAAATAACACGTTGGAATTTCATTTGCATGGTGAGTATGACTTTAGAGGAAAAGATGTATGTCTTTCATTTGATGATGCCATTTCTAGTATCAATCACCTCTCTCTCTCTCTCTCTCTCTCTCTCTCTCTCTCTCTCTCTCTCTGTTACATTCTTTCCAAGTTCACACTTTAATTTTCTTGAGATGTATGGATTCTGGCTACCATACAACTTTGATATTCTATGGTCAATCCCTTTTTTAAGTGCTAATGGAATAGTGGGACCTGTTTATAGGTTCCCTCCATTCTGGAACAAGGGATTCATATATCAAAGCCGTTTATCTAACAAACTGGCGATACACTGGGATTTTTTTTATTTTCATTTTCCATTTAATTAAATTGTGTTTATCATATCCAAAGAGCCTTTACCCTGTAAGCGGCAAAAATTCCCTACAATGAAAAAAAAAGGGAAAAATCTCAAGTGATTTTGGTGAAATGGATGACAAACCATGACATTGCAGTCAGCTAACATTTTCATAGCCATCCCATAATAATAAGCTAACTTGATCTCCACTAGAATATGCATGCATAGGCGACATAGGATGCTTAGTTATTTTGGAGCTCAAAATTTGATTGAGAACATTATAGTTATTATAATTGCAATTGCAGGAAAGGATCGCCCAACTATGGCTTGGCCTATGAGGATGAAGATTGCTTTAGGTTCTGCAAGAGGGTTGGCATATCTGCATGAGGACTGTAAGTATCTTTTTTTTAACCTTACCACTATGATAAGTTTCTCGGTTCATGTTTATTGTATTCACTTCTCAGGTAGTCCGAAAATCTTTCACCGTGACATCAAGGCTTCTAATATTCTTCTAGACTTCAATTTTGAGGCAAAGGTATGATGAGAAATTGTTTAATCATTACATGATAATATCGGTTATCTAGGCTGTTTATTGAATTCACTACCACATTATCTAGTTAGTTCCTTAAGTTATTTATTTACTTTATATCTTGAAAAGCTATTTGCATCCTTCCAAGGTCCTCAGTATAAGCCGAAGATGAGAGAAATGGCAAATGGGCTACAAAAGTTGGTTTCTTAATATAATCATTAGGAGAACGAAATGATAGACTCTTCGTCCTGCAACTATTTTTGGAGATGTGATGAAATTTTTAATGCAAGATTTAATATTATCATGCAAAGTTATTTGGATGTGGATTATAAAAGATGACACTGATTCCAGGTTGCAGATTTTGGACTTGCAAAGTCTGCTTTTGATACAGATACTCATATATCCACTCGAGTAATGGGAACTTTTGGGTAAGGCCATTTCTCATACATACGGTTTGTCTAATTTGGTACCACTTATGGTTAAGTTCATTTATTTCCTCTCTAAGCATATATTTGTTTTGTCATCTTTTGCTGATCTAAGCCTACCAAATGCAGCTACCTAGCTCCAGAGTATGCGTCCAGTGGCAAGCTCACTGAGAAATCGGATGTCTTTTCTTTTGGTGTCGTGCTTCTAGAGTTGATAACCGGGCGTCGTCCGGTTGACAAAACTCGACCCTTTGTTGAGGATAGCATGGTTGATTGGGTCAGTAGTCTTTCAGCAGTATACTTACTTGAGGCGTGTTATCGTTAGTGATCTTATCTGATAGGAAAAAGAACCAACTTTAGGACTTTGAGCATCTATGCCCCACTTCTCCCCCTCCCCTTCATGTATTTATTCTTTCCCTCCATTCCATCTCTCCACCTTGAATGTGGTCATAGAATTGACTCCTCTAATGAAATGGCAGGCAAGGCCTTTGCTGACACAAGCGTTAGAAGATGGCAAATTTGATGCCATCGTTGATCCAAAACTGCACAAGGACTACGATTCCGAGGAAATGAGTCGGATGATTGCTTGTGCTGCTGCTTGCGTTCGTCATTCTGCACGACACCGTCCACGAATGACACAGGTACATTGCCTAGTTGAAAAGCCTTTGTTTCAATATGAGACTGGGTGTTTCTTTTTTTTTTCCCCGCATTATAGACATAATTGTATGCTCTATATACTGGTTCTACTCCTACAAATGAAAAGTCATGGGTTATCACTTCATTTGAGCCTGAAAAAAGGAAATGTGTGTTAGTTTACTACTACTCACTTCGGCATGACCGATCGATGCAAACTGGTATACAATTGTGCAATAAGATTTGAGCTTCGTGTAATCAGGTAGTCCGAGCATTGGAAGGAAACCTTTCTCTGAGCGATTTAAATGAAGGAATTGTGCCCGGACATAGCAGAGCATATAGTCCTTATGGAAGCACAGACTATGATTCTAGCCAATACCAGGAGGATTTAAAGAAATTCAGGATGATGGCCCTGGAAAGCCAAGAACAAGCCACAAGTGAGTTCAGTGGCCCCACTAGCGAGTATGGCCTTCAACCATCCAGCTCAAGCAGCGGGGTACAACAGACTACCCAAGAGACGGACTTAGGTAAAATGGCAGAGGATGGTTATCATGCTAGCAAAGGCACTTAATATTAATATGAACTGAGAGGCTAGACCCTACTTCCACAGTTCCACGGTATGTCTGCAAGATCCATGCTCTGATGAGAAACATCTCTGGAAGAAAAAGTTTATGCTGCGCTTTGGCCTGTGGTCGCATTTGTGACTTGTTACTTGTAGATTGAAATGGATTAGATTTGGGAAAGGCAAAAAGTACATAAGGTGTCGGTATGTCTATATTGCTGATTTGACTAGTATGTTTGAGGTATTCTAAAATTTGTCATTGCTGCTAGAGGAATGTATACGACAGGAATGACGAGACTCAAAGTAGAAGGGATCGTTTCCTCATGATCTTATAGGAGCAGTGGGGTGCTGCAATTTTTGGCTGAAAAGTTGGGAAGCAACGGGGGTTCTGATTCAATACATTACGCTCAGAAGAGTTTCTGTCATAATCTTTTCCAGGTGCAGTCAGTGTGTATGATTGTAATCATCCTGTACACTTCCCATCACTTTCCTGAAGGATGAATCTGCAAAATCTGTTTAATCCAAATTGCTGTAGTTGCTCAAGTTCTTCACGTACTGGTCCAAATCAATGCAGTAATTTATCTGGAGTTGTGTTCCTGAACTGCTTATGAAGTTGACTGAGGTCACCACGGTTTTTACATGTAGAGTTTCTTATGTAAAAGTTTCTTGAACTCCTGTTTTTGACGAAATTAATGCGGAGGCCCTGCAAATTTTTGTGAAAAGAGATCCATGTCCTCCGTTTGAAAAGAAAATTATTTCCCTGTGTTCTTTTAGAAAAAGAAAATCGGATGCTGCTTGATTTGGCATACTCTGAATTATGGTTCGGTCAGACTGAAAGCAATAAGCACCAAAGCCAAGTGCAAGTGACGAAAATTACTTCAATTCATTATTCAAGCCAAAAAAAAAAAAAGAGAAAAGAATGCGCGCCTTCTAGCACACAAATATCATATTGTATTAATGAGATTGACCTGGATCTTTATACGTCTCGAATTGGAGGGATGAATTTAATCGGTGCGCAACTTCCCAAGTTCTGTCCGCTCACAACTGATTATATTTGTTCCGCAAGCCAACATAGATAATATTGGATCAAGAATATATAGTGAAGCATGAAACTACGAATGAAATAGAGATTCAATAAATTATCACCCAAAAATAATTTAGGCAGACGAGTCGAAAGAACTAAAGCTTTTCATTAGCTGTTTCAATTAATCAGCTTTTAGTTAACTCATACCTCAATTTCGGGTATCAGTATAGCTCACCCTAATGTGGGAGTGCATGGTGCATACATCTATCTTCATATGAAAAGGGTTGCTACAAGGCTATGAACTTGAGGTTTGTTCTTCCGCTCTTTCTCCCATAGCTTTATTTAGAGTGGAAAGATCATTATCATGTTTTATCGCGATGAACATGTTTGCAAAACGCTACCAGAGCACTTAAGTCCAGCTGCTTTAACTTTTTTCTTTACAGCTTGAATGGCAACCCAGATCCGTGGCCTGCCAGATCCTCACTCGCAGAAGAATGAAAAATCCATTTCTGTCCCGGTCGTTGCATCGGTTTCGGCCTTTTGTGTAGTTCTCTTGTGCGCTTTGGCTACAGTTTGGTTGATCAAAAGGAAATAGATCAGAGGTGACTTCTTCTTCTACTTCTGGTCGATAGATGTTTAATGACATTTCTAGGGTAGTTTCATTAAGAAAGACAAGGCGGCAACTCGTCAATTTTTACCCTCTCGAGAGTCCACTATTTCCTTTCAAACTATGTTTTCCTTGTTAAGTTCTGGCAAGTCACGAAGTGAACCTATAAGAAAGCGAGAGAATAGACAGACAAGAATTGCAAGCTTGTAGAGCTTAATCCATGGAATTGTTACTTGTAGATTGAAATGGATTAGAATTGAAAAAGGCAAAAAATATATCAGGTGTTTGTATGTCTGTGTGGCTAATTTGAGTAGTATAGCTTGAGGTATTCTAAACATTGTCATCGCTGCTAGAGGAATGAACAAGACAGGAACCACGAAACTCGAAGTAGGAGGGATCTTTTTCTCATGATCTTATAGGAGCAGTGGGTTGCTGCAAGTTTTGGCTGGAAAGTTGGGAAGCAATGGTGGTTCTGATTCAATTCATTACACTCAGAAGAGTTTCTCTCGTAATCTTTTCCATCATGTACTCTTCCCATTACTTTTTCTTTAAGGATGAATCTGCAACATTTGTTTTATCCAAATTACCGACAGTTGCTCAGATTCTTCACATACCGATCCAAATCAATGCAGTGATTTATGTGGACTTGTGTACCTGAACTTCTTATGAAGTTGATTGAGGTCACGTCGGTTTATACATGAAGAGGTTTTCACGTAATAGTTCCTTGAAACTCCTGTATTTTGCGAAATTTATGTGAAGGGCCTGCATAATTATGTGAAAAGAGATTCATGCCCCCCTTTCCGAAAGAAGATCATTTCCGTTTGATTCTTTGGGAAAAGAAAAAAAAATCGGAGGCTGCGTGAATTTGGCATACTTTGTAATTTGCTACAGTCAGACTATGCCCAGAAATCTGCTTCATGCCTGAATATGCCAATTTTTACAGGACAAGACTTGAAGAAACGATCTTGATGATCTCCAAGTAATCAAGTATGATTTTGAAAACGTTAAAATACTGAAACAATCACACTTCATGAAATATAGATTATTCCAAATAGCATCCTATATGTCTGTTGAAGACACTATAATAAAGCACAGCACGAAATTAGATACATGTCATGGTCGGTGAATGTGACGGATAGCAATGAGCTCATGTGAAAGTCTCATCCCTAACATACCAACAACAAGAGGTATAAGCAAACATACTGAGTGCACCATGTGGTCATCGGACCGCTGAAAATCGCTCTAATTGTTAGGCATGCCCGTGTGTTAACACTTTGTCTTAACGTTAAGGAAAAATGACATAAATGGTTCTCCGACTTTAGCCCAATGTGCAATATTATCCCTTATCTTTTAAATCTTTCGATGTGGTTCATGAACTTTAGTCCCATGTAGAATGTTATCCATGAACTTTTAATTTGTTCAATGTGATTCTCGAAATTTTAGTACATATTCAATTTAAGACACGATATCTTCAAATTCGATATTGCAACACTCGCCCCCAAACTTTCCTTCAATGTTTAATATTGTCCTTCAATTTATTCAAGTTCACTATATGACGTTGAACATTTTCAAATAGTCAAGGGACCAGATTGAATATGCACTTAAAGTTCACGGGCCACATTGAACAAATTAAAAGTTCAGGGATGAGATTGCATATTCGACTAAAGTTTAAGAACCATATCGAACGAATTAAAAATTCAAGGATAAACATTACACGTTAAAATCAAAGTTCGGGGATCATTTGTTGTAATGATCCCCAGCATTAAATTAGAGGGAGCATTTCATCACACCAAGATTGTCCATTTGAATATTATTTTGGCTACTAACCCCACAAAAACAAAGGAAAAAATCAACTAAACAAAAAGTTTATAATATACAAATCAGTTAAAAAAAAACAACTGGGTTTTACTCCGTGTCCCACCTACAAGTCAAGTCAAATTCCTCTTCGATTGTCCGGTCCGATTCGACAACCCGGAGGAACGACATCAAAAGTTACAAAACTAGCTTTTGCCTCAAAGCTCGCTTTTCCATTTCACGAGCCAGCTATTCGTCCCCCCTCTTCGAGAGCTCCGATCATCATCGTCCATGGCTTCTCGCCGGCGCATGCTCCTCAAAGTCATCATTCTCGGCGATAGCGGGTAAAATGCGCGCCGCCCTCGTTCCCGCTTCCGTTGATCTTGCAGGTCTCCGTGCGATCTTTTGCTTCGATTGACTTTTTGCTGGTCTTTGTTTTCCTTTTTCAGGGTTGGGAAGACTTCTCTGATGAATCAGTATCCTTCTGAAACCCAGATCTCCTCTTTCTCTTTGGGCTTGATTGATTGATTGATTGATTGATTGATTGGTGTTTTTGACGTTGGGGGGGACCGCTGATTGTGCTGTATAGGTATGTGAATCGCAAGTTCAGCAATCAGTATAAGGCGACGATCGGAGCTGATTTCTTGACGAAGGAAGTTCAGTTTGAGGACAGGTTGTTCACATTGCAGGTGAGCCCCCAAAAAAAAAAAGGGTGAATTTTTCGCATGGTTCCTAGTTTCTTTTCCGTGTAAATTGTATCATTTGAGCATGGATTTTGAATTGCTGCTGCTGTGCTCATCGGTTTCTGCGAATTTCGTCACACCCTTTGGCTTTCCTGCTCTGAAAAATTTCCCATGAATACTCTGTTACTGGGTTTTGGCTATGACGCATACGACTCAAGCTCAATGACCCACGGACTGCGTAAATCTCTGTTTCCCTTTTTTTTTTCCTGCTAAATCTGGTTTCCAGGAATGCAAGAACTCACCATTAAGCTGCTTAAGAGACCTTTTTTTTTATGCAAATACATGTCATCCAGATTGGTTGAGCCAATGCCAACACAATCAAATTGCTTAGGTGATTTATTACAAACTATTTGGTCTAACAGATGGTCTGCTGTTTTCAACATGGAATGCTAGTATCAATCTCACTTAGATGTTAGCAACAGCATAACAACTTATCGCCATTAGCATGGTGGCTGCATCTTATCACCATTAGCATGGTGGCTGCATTCCCTTTGGGATTTTGTTAATCATAAGGCGTATTTGAATCTTAACTGGTTATGCAAAATATTACTAGGAAGATATGGTTTCCCTTCTGGGTCCGACTTGGTGAGAATTCAGCTATGCAAAGTTCAGACCTAAATCTCTAAAAAGTCAAAACATGGAGTATAAGTCAAAATTAGGTTGTTGAGTCGATAATTTCTCTATACTTCTCCAACTTTTGTTTCAAAATGGAGGAGGACAGGAGTTGATGGTCAGTTAGTGTTAAGGTTTGATGCATGAATGTGATGTGGTTATATGCAAAAATATATTTAGTTGGTTTATTCTACCAACTTCTTTGAGTTCTGGTATAGGTCCTTACCAGTTGCTGTTGGCCAGTTCAGTTTTATTCTATCATCTCTCTGTAGATCTAAATTAGGCAGGCTCTGGCGTCTTTTTTAATCTCCTCGAGACTCCTAAATAGTCTCGTATCCTATGGAAAAATACAAACTTTTGGGCAATCACCTAATTATGCTTACTATGCATTTTTCTATGCTAGCTTGTGTTCGAAACTTGTATTAGCGTCCCCTTCAATGAAGAGAAGGTAAAAATGTCAATGTTTCTTCCCTAAGAGAATGAAAAACTTGCTTACTTGCAGATTTGGGATACAGCTGGCCAAGAAAGGTTTCAAAGTCTTGGTGTGGCTTTTTACAGAGGTGCTGACTGCTGTGTTCTTGTGTACGATGTGAATGTGATGAAATCATTTGACAATCTAAACAACTGGCGGGAGGAGTTTTTGATTCAGGTAACCGTTACTAACAAGATGATGAATGAATTATGACTTAGAGCTTACAAAGTTATTGAGCCTAAAATTTGTTTTGATGACTTGGTAACCAGGCCGGTCCATCAGACCCTGAAAACTTCCCATTTGTTGTTTTGGGTAACAAGGTGGATGTCGATAGTGGCAATAGTCGTGTGGTGAGTATTCTTTCCTCAGTCTTTTGTCCCTCTCTTTTGTGTTATGTACATTGCTTACGCTAGTAAGAGACCTGCTCAAGGGAACTTCTTTTCTCATGTGACGTATTTGTAAAGATCTTTCCGCTGTTGAACTGCGTGACATGGCATCTTCTTGGTTCTCCACTTCCTGATTCAGGTTTCTGAGAAGAAAGCGAGGGCTTGGTGTGCTTCCAAAGGAAACATTCCTTATTTCGAGACCTCTGCCAAAGAAGGATTTAACGTGGAAGCTGCTTTTGAGTGTATAGCCAAAAATGCTTTGAAGAATGAACCAGAAGAAGAAATGTGAGTCCTTTGAATCGAAATTGTAGATAGTGTTGACTATTGAGAGAGTCTGTTCTTCCCTAATTAGATGAGACCCTCTTCTTTGTGATTTATCAGATTGGGATATAGAGTTATAATATGCTTAAACTTAGATAACAACGGAGAATGAACGTTAGTTATCACACTGATTCAACACATAATTGCATCGGCCATACTTTACTATTTTTGGGTGCAGTATATTTTGCTAACCTAGTGCTCTGAACTTGTCTTTGTTGAAGATACCTTCCGGACACCATTGATGTCGTGGGTGGAGGACGGCAGCAGAGATCCACTGGTTGCGAGTGCTGAGGAGTCCCACAGTACATCATTTGCCTTGGGATGCATGTATGATGCAGCTCAAGATGTATCAATTCACGGTACAGAAATTATTCTCTTATGTATTGTCAAAAGGAGAGTAAAAAAGAATTGTTCTTAAGGACTTATGTAGAGAATTGTTGAATTTCCCAATGTGTATCTGTATCATATGAGCCAAATCGGGGAGACATTGTTTGTTTTTTTCTCTTTTCACACCTATTTGGGTCCTAGCATCTTTGGTCCCATTAAATTCTTCATCTTTCCTCTGATGTACTGTCAATCTGAGTCCTGGCGCTCGTTAATAGTGGGTATATGGTGCAGTTTTTCCCCTAATGCTGACTCCTTTTCAATTCCTACTGAGAAACTAAATGGGCCTTCCTTCCTTCTTCTCTCTTTGGGCTTGTCGGGAAATGGGTTAGGATTACCTCTTCCGTCTTAGAAGAAAACAAGAAGACATGTCCCCTGTGATAATCCATGCGGTCAAGACACGTCACCGTTGGACGTGCCACGTGTCGAGCTTGAAGACGCGATGTGTCCGTGTGTGCTCACGAATGGGCTTCTCTCAAATCCTTGAAACTTTGTATATCTCTCTAGAGAGAGAGAGAGAGAGAGAGAATTGGAGAGCCTCCATTTCTGCAACGGCAATCTTTACACGCCATAACCTTATTCTGAACCTTAAAGCCACGAGAGGCCGACGACGCCAAGAGAACGAGGAGAATCCATGGAAGCCGCGAAGGAATCGGAGCCATCGAGAATTCTGGATGCCATCCTCCCTCCGCGCCTTGAAGTCGACGGCCGTGAAGGCTCGGCGCTTCCTCCTGAATCCTTCCAGGACGCCTTAGCCAGGGCCGCCGCCACCGTGAAGTCACACGCTGCCTCGATCTTCACCCCCGACCACAGGGATGACTGCATGGACGACCCGTGGCCCGTTGCCGAGGGCCCGGCCGACGTCATAACCGGGGAGCCGCTAGGAGGCCACGAGCCCGATCAGCCGTGCACGACGGAGAAAGGCAGCAGCGGAGGAAGAGGACAGGTCGGTGGGGACGTGGTGGTCCCAGGCATGAGCGGCGAGGGAGACGAGGTGGTGGTGGTGGGCAAAGGGGCGGAGGAGGACGACGACAGAGGAGCTTGCGTGGACGGCCTCCAAGGGCTGGAGATCGGGGAGAGAGGCCAGAACAGCGGCGGCGACAACGGCGACGAGGAAGGCGGTGATGAGGAGCCAATACTAGTCTTAGGCGTTGTGTAATGAAACTCCATCCGCGAAGTTCCCATGATCTAACGATTCAATTTAGATGAACAAGCCTTTGTATCTTCAGCACGCATGTATATGCAATGCATGATTTAGAATTTCAATAAATTGTCAAATTTTTCATCTTTCGTGCATATGAACAGAGAAAAAGATCTCAAATTTCGACTTAGTTGGCTGCAAAAAAAAAAAAATGCAGCTATTTATTATATAGTAGATCCGTTCTTGCAAAAAAAAAAAAAATTACCAGAAACCAATTGGGCTAAATGGCGGATTTCTCTCAAGCGAGAAGAAGTCCAACATAAGATGCTAGGAAAAATAGGACTTTTAACCAGTGAAAAATTCCGATCCTCCCATGAATCATATGACCGGAGTCGGCAGTGGATTTCCGGCGAAGTGCGCCTCCAGGTTCGCCAGCACGAGATCCGCCATCACCGTGCTGGTCTCCACGGTGTCGCTCCCCACGTGGGGCAGGAGAACCACATTGTCCATCCGGAGCAATTCCTCCGCCACCTCGGGCTCGTTCTCGAACACGTCGAGGCCCGCCCCGCCGAGCCGGCCCTCGAGCAGGGCCGACACCAGCTCGGGCTCGTCCACGTGCGCGCCCCGCCCGATGTTTATCAGGACCCCCTCGGGGCCCAGCGCGTCCAGGACTTCCCGGCCGATGATGTGGCGGGTCTCCGCCGTCAGCGCGCACGCCACGACGAGGATCCGGCAGTGGCGGGCCAGCTCCACGGCGCTCGGGTAGTACTTGTAGCTCACGCGCGGCTTCTCCGACCGGGAGTGGTAGCTGATCGGGCAGCCGAACGCTTCGGCTCGTTTCGCGATGGCGGAGCCGATCCTGCCCAGCCCAACTATGCCGATCGACTGGCCGCTGAACTGAAAACGAAAGGCAGAGAGAAAGCAGAGGCGCAAAGCTTCAAATTTTGTCAAAATGGCATCAGACACGAGCAAACTGGAAATGAATCTACAGACACGACCCAGATGAAATCTAAACAGCCCATCTTCTCCCACAAACGAAAGATCAGGTTCTCGCCAATGCGTGCACGAAATTGGGAACAGGGGAATCAGCAGTTCGAGGAACAAACCTTGGTGGTGAATCCAAAATCCCGACTTTTCCACTTCCCGCTCCTCACGAACGCGTCGCACCCGCAGACCTTCCTCAGCACGCACAGCATCAGAGCAATGGCGACGTCGGCCACGTCGTCGGTCAGGACATCGGGGGTGTTGGCGACCCGGATCCCCTTCTCCCGGCACTTGCCCAGATCGATCTTGTCCAGCCCCACGCTGTAAGTCGCCACCATCTCCAGCCGCGGCAGCGCGTGGATCAGCTCCGCGTCGGCGCCCACCTTGGTGTTACCGACGACGGCCCGGATCGAGCCCGAGTGGGTCTCGAAGAACCGGCGCGGCGAAGGGTAATCCCAGAGCCGGTAAAGTTTGAACCTTTTCGCCAGTTCTTGCTCGAGGTGGGCGAACATGGGGCATGTCATCAAGACGCCAATGCCGTCCATTTTGCAAGAAATCTCTACTGCTTGAGAGTTCTTGGGAGCCTTTCAACAGCACTCTTCTCTTTACACTCCCCTCCTTTTTTTTATGTCCCCTTTGGTAAGATTTTTTTGACATTTCGACCTAATAGTATTTATACAAACTACCGAATATTTTCACTATGATAAGCTTATATAAATTGCAATATGTTAAATAAGCCTGGCGTGACCGGCCTGTGCAGGCTCGGCTTGCTCGGGCCTAACATTTCTTTTCCATTATCCTACCTCAGGGGAATAGCCGAATGCTAGATGAGTTGCGAGTTGCATTTCATCGAGCACATCTAGACCATCGATCTCGTGATTTCCGTAGCTGAGATTCACATAATTAATGATTGGGGTGATATTTGGTTAACATGCTTCCAAATCAATGCAAGAACGGCGAGAGAAAGAGAGAGATATTGATTGATTTTGGGTGGTTGAGCATGCATTTCTCACTCGGCTTTTGTTTTTCTTCAAAATAAAGCTGTACAACATGGAACAAGAACACAGCAGTGAACACTAAACATGCACCCCACGTTCACAACAGCCAAGAGCCTCCAGAATTAGAAATCGCCTAAAATTCCCACCAACAAAGAGAGAGAGAGAGAGAGAGAGAGAGAGAGAAAGAAAACCAACATTAGCCTTCACGATTTTGTCTATCTCACTAGATTCTATTGACATTCTTTTCTCTCTCTCCCTGTCACACTTTGGAGTTGGCTTCTTCCCTTCTTTTCTTCCTCTCTCGCTCCCGTTGCCCAGCAGCTAATTCAAACCAGACATATCAATCATGTCTCTCCCTCTTCCTTGTTGAAGCTTTAACGATATCGCGTCGGGGTCGATTCTATTCGGTACCCCGAATACATATGCTCTTGTGGCCGTGTGTTGTTGTCGGCTCATCGGATCGGTATAATCTGTTCTGACCAAATGATGGTCCGGGCCCTGGAACAAGAGCAAGAGGACTACAGGTCTAGGCTCTTCCATTTCCAGGGTATGCACGACAACGCGGGGCATCATGTCAAGAGCTTGAGTGCCGAGCAGAGCATGTGCGTTGAAGAGCTCTCGGGCGATGATGCGACAATGTCAAGAAGCTACGGAGCGAAGCCTCAGAATGAGAAACCGATGGAGCAACAACAGATTGGTTGGTCGCTCCATAAATCTACCGCCAAGGCCCCTAAATCGCGCCTAGCCCGTGACAAAGCTAAAGATAAGCAACCAACAGGCAAGTCGTGTTGAATGTTCTTCAATAGGACCAGGATAAGCTCTGCGACAAGATGCTAGCGTTGTATTGGTTCGGTGACCAATCTTGGTATAACGATTGACTATTGTAATTCCTTTTCTCGGTTTTATTTCAGAAACGGATTTGATAAAGGAAAGGTTTGCGAAGCTGCTTTTGGGTGAGGATATGTCTGGTGGAGGAAAAGGTGTTTCCTCGGCTTTGGCCTTATCGAATGCCATCACAAATCTGGCCGGTACATTCATCTTTCTCATTGATTCCCTTTTCCGACAGATGGTCAAGAGTAAACTTTGTAGAACCAGCGAGACAAGATGTGCTCGAACGGCCGAGAGATGGATCTATCTTAGTTAGTCTAGACTACTATGATTCTCTAGTTTTCGTCCTAAATCACATATGCCGTGACTTTCTTCGCAACAAGTTTTGTGAAGATCTGTATATTTGCCTAATCTGATCGTTATAAGCACAATGCAGCTTCTGCATTTGGCGAGCAAAAGCGGCTAGAGCCCATGGCCCCAGAAATGAGAGCGAGGTGGAAAAAGGAGATCGACTGGCTCTTATCTGTCACGGACCACATTGTTGAATTCGTTCCTTCTCAACAGAAAACTAACGGGGTGAACATGGAGGTAAAAATGAACATTCCTTTCCCCTTGGAAATTTCCTAATCTCTCCGTCCAATTTCTTGGTATATTTATCTCTCGGTCAATTTAATAGATTATGACAACGAAGCAACGCACCGATCTCCACATGAACATCCCTGCTTTGCGAAAGCTAGATGCAATGCTCATCGTGAGTATCTATAACATTTCATCTTTCCTATAAACTATGCCTAACAAGTGATTATCAGTCATGACTTGCAACAAATTTCTACTCTATCAGGATTGTTTGGATAACTTCAAAGACCAAAACGAATTCTTCTATGTAAAGGATGACAAGGACTCAGAGAAAGGAAATTCGAAGAGAAAAGATGACAAGTGGTGGTTGCCCACGGTAAAAGTGCCGCCGAATGGTCTCTCGGAAATGTCAAGGAAATGGCTCCAGTTTCAGAAGGATTCTGTCAACCAGGTCCTGAAAGCGGCTATGGCGATAAATGCGCAAGTCTTATCAGAAATGGAGATACCCGAAAATTACATTGAATCTCTACCTAAGGTAATGAAAAGGATGAGTCCTGCGAAAGCATAGCTTGAAAGTCGTCTCTCTCTCTCTTTTTAAACAGCTTCCAATTCTTGACCTGCAATTTTCCTCCGGTCATTAGAATGGAAGAGCAAGCCTTGGAGACTCCCTCTACAAGAACATAACAGACGAATACTTCGATCCAGATCAATTCCTCTGCGCGGTGGACATGTCGTCCGAACACAAAATCCTAGACCTAAAGAACAAGATCGAGGCCTCGATCGTAATATGGAAGAGGAAGATGCACAATAAGGATAGTAAATCATCTTGGGGATCCGCTGTGAGCATGGAGAAGAGGGAGCTTTTCGAAGAGAGAGCGGAGACAATTTTGCTCCTCCTTAAGCAACGGTTTCCAGGAATATCTCAATCAGCACTGGACATTAGCAAAATCCAATACAACCGGGTAAGTGATCTTCCACCTTAACCATAAATTCACCTGTCTTCTTGAAACAGACTCCATGAGCTTACACATCAGGAAGTCTTTTAAGTATCAACACAAATCAGACTTATCAAGTCCTTTGCTTGCCATTTGCATTGTTACTCATCCTTTAGCTTGCTGTTTTCTGTATGTTGTGTATAGTTGTGAGAGCGAAATAAGGCACTAGAATTATTGACTGTTCTGAAACTAATCTGTAACGCCATTGCTCTGTAGGATGTTGGACAGGCTATCCTAGAGAGCTATTCAAGGATACTAGAGAGCCTGGCCTTCACAGTGTTGTCCAGAATCGAAGATGTCCTCCATGCCGATTATATTGCGCAGAATCCATCGCAAGCATCACAGAAGAGAAACCCTCTAAGAGATTGTCCATCACTGACAGGGACACAGAAGTTCAACGCTCAAGAGGAGATAGAGAAGCTAAATTTGTCAGAAGCACCCAGTTCAATGACATTATCGGACTTCATGGGGTGGAACTTGGATCAACAAGAGGCCGAGGAAAAGAAAGACAGAGCTGCTGATGATTTGCTTAAAGACAGTGAAGGGAAGCACATGGATAAGCTCTCCTACGTAAGGACCACCAACAAGAAGGTTTCATATCTCGAGAACTTGGGCGGCGTAAGAAGCCCCACTTCACGCCATTAGTGGTAGTTTCATAGAGGAAGAAAGGTTAGGAAGGACGGCAAGTGAAAGAGAAGATTTATGGGAGGAAAATTCAAAGCTTCAAGGAACAGAGATCACGATTGAAGATACAAGGACCTGCACGAGTGCCCTCATGAATTGTATTTGGCTAATGCTACTCTTTTCCTTCTGTAATTGAGGAGGATTAGGAGGATGAAGAAAGCTAATAATCTGAGTGTCTTGTACATGCTAACTTCAGCGCAAGCAAAGCTCTGGTCCGCCAATCTGTCTTTCCTTCTCATTTGTTTATTGCCTTCATAAAGATTTGCATAGGTCAAAATCATCTCTGTGATCGCAATGAACAAGAGTCTATAAATAGATTGCTGAACTGCCAAGTTAGGACCTCAAAGAACATGCCTAACATGTTTTTCATGAGAGCTACGGTGCGATTCTTCTGAAGATCACACTTATGCCATACATATTTCACTAGTAAACACCTACTAAGGCTTTCAGAATAAAGCGACGCCCAAAAAAATGACAGTCTGATCTCAATCACGCAATTACCATAAAAAAAGTCAACAAATAAAAGCTTATGCATTTGCCTGAGTTTAAGCACCATGGCCAAATAAACTAAATTGCAAGAGAAACCTCGGATTGATTTCAATGCAGTTACTACTTTCTCAATGTACTTAACAACCTTCAAAGCCAGAGAATGACATATGTACTAAAGATTGTTCCAGGATAATTTCTGAGCTGAATTAGATCTTGCCACGAGGACCCAACTTTGGCGGAAGTTGAGGACCCTTCTTGATTGGCAGAATGTCGCCAGAAGCCGTGGCGCTGAAATAAGCAAGAGTTGAACCCCCTCCCAATATCAAGAACTTGAGCAATAACCCTCTCTTTGTGAAAGGACCTACGAATGTCTCGAAGAATTTGCTCTGCAGTATCATATTTCACAGATAATACACATCATTCTCTATCCACGCAAAAAAAGCTAATAAATCACAAGTTGGTATAAAGGTCAAATTACCCTTGGCACAGGAAATGTCTTACTTAAACCAATGCTCCAAAATATGCGCTTGCATATCCTGATCAGGTTCCTTAATATGTGTGGTAAGTTTGAGACAACTTCCATCTACTTCTATAGACAGGTTACTTTGGGTACTCAGATTCTTATAATAAACTTGCTTTCTTCCGAAGCATGTCACTATTCATTGACACTTCTAAATATCACGAGCAAATCAAAACCAGAAGATATTCTTTTTTTCCTTTTTTGAACTCATCCTTCAACTAATGCATGACTTGGTCAAGAAATACAGACCTGAAGGGAGTTGTACGGTGAAGGTGCATCTGATCCGTACAAGTCCCATTGCCCAGTGGTGTTACCCAAATCTTCCAAATCAAAGTAGACACTCTTGTCCCCATATTTTGCCACCACAGCACCACTCCTACTCAAACAAAGCCCCTCAGTTATCAGCAATCACAGTTCACACTTGTCTCCTTACGATACCGCAGCTCATTACTAAAACTGAAACGTAGGACTGTAGGATGACCCAAGTGCTTATGAATAACTTGTTATCTGATGCACTCATTGCAACCATCAACGATCCTAATCTAAGCCGTACGCTAATTGACTTATCTTTATACACACCTTAAAGTTTTGGGTCCCAAGCTCTGGGTGGTGGGCTTGAGGTGGAGCTTTTTCCCGGCAAACGAGCTTCCGAGGCCCTTGATGGCGGACGGCGGTGCGGCGGCAACGGCTGCTAGAGATGCCATTGTCAAATTGGTCCTTGGCTCCTAATTGGTATGACTGACTTTCCCGTTTCGGTTGCCTCCAGAGAGCTTAAGCAATCTTTTACAAGGTTTTCGAGAGGGACACGTGGCGAAATGGGTTTCCTCGAGCAGAAATTTGGAGTCCCATTTATGAGGTGACACGCGTGTCTAAGTAGGATAGGCCTATCCTTTCATGAAATCTAGTTAAAACCAGTAAAAAGCAATGAAATCTTTGTCAGTGGCAAACCCCTCGTAACGCACACATACTAGAAGTTGAGCCACTGGAGCGAGACTTCAGCATGTTCGCACCATTTTATTCACGTCAACCGTTTTGGATGCGTCTCAACATGTAATCTCAAGAGAATAATTGCCCCAGATTTCAATATCCGAGAGATGATTTACAAGAAATTACACTTACTTGAGCATCTCTTCGTATTATCTAAGTTGAAATTTCTAGCTTACCGAAAGATTTTTTCACGTTTGCAAGAAATTACCTTCAGGGACAATAACGATGAGTGCGCAGCCTTTGAATTCAAAAGAGTGTTAAAAAGTTTTAAAAACGTCCATGGTATGCATGAGGGGCCATGTGAAATGTCTTACGGTAAGTACATTCTATGGAGGATCAAAAAGAGTGGTGAGCTTGAACTTATACTTATTTAAAACTTTCTTTCATTATTCAATAGATGAACATGACTGACAAATTTGAATTAAAGATAGTTATATGGCTCGTGTAACTTGAACAAGAAAACTATTTGAGAGTGGAATGTTGGATGCAAATTTGACAATTTACAAGAATAGTATCTCGAGATGAATATAAATCGGCATTATTAGGAGAAATTAATCTTGCATTTTGTGATTAGTCAAAAAAGAATTAAGTATATTGGCTAAGCCAAAAAAATTATAAGGTAGCAGTACATGTCTATTATACACCTCTTTCCTTTTTAGGGGCTCAAGCGCCTCCAAAACTTTCCCTTCCATCTGCGCACTGGCTAGCGACCACGGAACATGCTCACCCATTTCTGTGGTGCTGATTACTCTCTCTCTCTCTCTCTCTCTTTCTCTACAGTAGCATCAGAAAAAGCCAGAAGCTTTGTGTCTAATTCTTGATCATTTGCCACTGCCAATTGTGAACTACACGAGAGAGAAGATTCTTTAAGTTCTCAGTGTTTTGAGGTGATTCTTGTCGGAGTTGCGTATGGCTACCATTCTAGCGAACTTACCCGCAGCACCGCTCGTCCACCATAAGCCACAGCTCCTTTTGACAAGCGTGGGCACATTCTCAGTCGCCACACCTAAAGGTGCGAGATGTTCTAGGCCTATCGAGAATTCTCACTGCGTGTGGTGCTATTATCGTGCTTTGATTGATTGTAAAGTTCCTAACTTTGAGTCTTTTTTCGCTATTTGAGTGTCAGAACTTGCGAGGAAAGAAGGGTCGAATGCAAAAACTTGAATTTTTTTTCTGAAAGGTTTGCGGATGGGAATGGAGTCCGTATTGGTAGTAAAACTATAGCTCATATGATAGCATGCCGTTCTTGCCTATTTTAGCAAAAGCCCACCCATTTTGACTGCAAAGTTTATGGACTAAGACTACAAGCTACAAGTGGAAAAGAAGGTTCATGATGGAATTGCAAGTGTGGTGCAACACCCAGTTAAAACTGGGCGTAGGCTTTTGAGGGGGGAGGGGGGTAGAGGTTTAGGTTGTGTGCAGATGAATTTGCTCCCTTGCATTTATAAACCTCATATTTGGTAGGTAGATACAATCAGTGATGCTGGAACTTAGTGTATGTTTGTGTTTTTCTGCAGAAAGAGGAAATCGTCTTGCTGTTGTAGTGAAGGCTATGGGCGAAAGCTCCGATTCTTCCACTTCCCTAAGCGTTGTCAAGTCTGTGCAAAATATTGTGAGTTACTCCTCCCCCTTTTGTTTTGTACAGTGGACATTGTTTAAGCCAAATTATGGGTGCCCTGTACAATGATGCAATTTAATGTAGTTTTCTACTGGTTTTAGAGTTATGTCCTTAGTTAGAAGTGTAAGTGCGACCTTTATACGAGGAAAACATAGGGCTTTCTCACAAAATAAATTGCATCTCCAAGGTATTATTTGCCCATTTTCGAAACTTTTGTTCAACTTGTTATTTCCATCAGCATTTCTGCTTTGGAGTCTTAGTCGATACCTGGTTCCATCAGCATTTCTTCTGGTAGATTCTCTTCGTCGGCACCTGGAATTTCTAACATTCTACTTCCGCATTTCCAAGGCCACTGGACAAAATGTGATCATCTTTTCCTTTCTGACTTGATATTTATTTGTCTGGACAGTGGGATAAATCTGAGGATCGCGTGGCTATTATTGGCTTGGGGTTTGCAGGCGTAGTGGCTCTCTGGGCAACTGCAAATCTTGTAACGGTACTCTACGCTGCTTTGGTTATTAAATCCAATTGATGTCATTCTCTCCGGTCGAAAAAATAAATAAAAATAAATAAACAAGGTCATTGCCCTGGCTTTGATGTAATTTGGACAGTGTCGTTCTTTAACATCACGACTACTGATTATTGTTCACCCGTGGAAGAAAATGCATAGAGTTTGAAAATCCACAAAGGAGGACCTCCTCTTTGTTTTTCCGTAGGTGCACAATCTCAGTTTCAAATATGCTGTGGGTATTGAACTAGAGTATCTAATTATGTTCTTATGTTTATACACAAAAGATTCTTTTAAAAGATTTATATTACATGATGCAATGTACTCAGATTCATACATACACTATACGCTTCATTGGCTTATCAGATACTCAAACTCTTTATTCTTGACTTGATATATGTGCACTCTGCAGGCTATTGACAAGTTGCCTGTTATACCAAGTGCACTGGAATTCATTGGGATAGTGTTTTCTGCGGTGAGTTTTAGAATATATATTGTCATTGGATGATGCAATTTGATGATGAAGAGATGGTTTTGAATTTTTCAACCATTACTTGATTCCAAATTTGTCGTGAACTTCAAATTTTTCCTTTGCTTTTCCTTGCTGCCTTGGCAACTATGGGGAGTAACACATCTAGTTATTGGTTTATCGCTTTGGTCAAGTTCTATCTCCTGTGTACGTTCTAACTAAAACTTCGTCTCTGTTTGTTTCAGTGGTTTACATATCGCTATCTCTTATTCAAACCTGACCGGTAAGCCCATTTCCAGCTACTGCTATCTGTTTGCCTGTCATTCAATGCCAAGATCCTCTTTCCCATTTTCCATTTTTTCTCGATATATGTCAATAAATCTGAAGGAAAACTCATCACGAAATGGGTGGCATCTTACTTCTCAATTTGATCGCTATATTTTTAACAGGGAAGAGCTTTTCCAAAGCATCAAGAAGTCCATCTCAGATACCTTGGGACAGTAAACTGTACCATCTTGTGCTGGACGATGATCGAAAGGTCTCATAAATAGAAACTTTCTTTGGCTGTATCCCTATTTCACTGGTTACACGAGCCTTATGACCTGTCATTTGTTGTAACAGTTGATGGTGAAGAAGTAACAATTTCAAGTGGAGCATGAAAACTGTATAGTTTCCTGAAGGTTTCTGGTTCCTTTGGAAGCCTGTATCGGTATTCTGCTCACGTTTTTCTCGATGGTCTCTCTCTCTCTCAGATCATTTAATCTTTTCATTTAGTTTGAACTGGTTGTGCTTGTCTGTGTTTGAGACCTGGCCACAAATGTAATATCGTTTTGTCGGTGATTGAGTTTCAGACAAAGCTGAAGCACGCAGTTGTGATTTTGCTGAGAAAAATGCTGAAATTAGAGTTTTATCCGATGCCTATGAAGAGAGGGGATGTTAGAAATGTGGTGCTGCAAGTAGTTCTGCATATTTTTCCATTCTCTACTCTGGTACTGAAAGAACAATTGGACCTCAGTCTTGTATCGTGTCATGGATGGAGAAGAATAACCAGCCTTTTAACACTAATGAATGCCGCACCCCCAACCACATCGCTCATTACCTTGTGCGACGGTGTAGGACAGAGGACCATGAGATCTCCAGTTTGATGTAAAATTTGCGTAAACTGAAGATTCCGACGATGAGTTTCGAACTTGTTCTCTCTATCTCTGTATTCTCAAAGTGAAACGTCTAACCGAGGAGCAATTTGGATACCGCGCATGGTTGTTTTGGTTTTCTTGCCGTTTGTCATTTGGTGAGCAATCAATTTGTTTTATCAAGGTTTAGGAGTGCAAAGATCGATTTACATGGAATTTGGGCGAATATTTGGAACACCTGAGTTAGGAAAATTATCAAAAAGAAGTCATAAACTTATTGCATTTATATCAATTCAATTCTAAACTTTCAATTTAGCCAATTTAATCATAAATTTTTTGACAATTTGCCAATTTAGTCTTTCCTGTTAATTTTGACTGAAAATCGCTAAGCTGGACCCTAACCATGTTACGTGACACGATCGATGTTGGCAAGGACAATATTTGTAATTTTAGCAATTTTATATTTCTTTTTTCTTTGCTTATTTTTTTCATTATGGTTAATAAGGGTCACCGGCGATCCTCGCTAGTCACTGGGTAACAGGCGAGGCCTTTGAAGGCCTCGCCTGGATTGAGCAATGGCTTCCTCGCCCACGACCAGCGAGTGTTGCTAGTGACCCTCGTTACCACAATAACAAAAATAAAAAATTGCAAAAATTATAAATTTGTTTTTGTAGGATGCCTAGTATCCACATTAATGATTTCGGGCTAATCTCAATGGGTTAAATTGGCCAAATTGAAAGGTTTAAAATTAAATTGGAACAAATACCATATGTTTATTATTTTTTCGGTAATTTCTTCCGTGAGTGATATTCAACTATTGAATAATAAGTCATTCAGTTTATAAGTTCGTTTTGTATGGCGTTAGTTTTTCCCCGACAAACATGGCTGCCTCGCCAATTTCAGTTGAGAATCTTTCCCGCCAAGAACCGAACTGTCCATTCTTGAAAACTTTAGTCGAGTTCTCGCCGTTGATGTCCGGAGGCAACGGCTTCTTTGTCGGTTCATCACCCCCCCTTGTCCGTAATCGTCAAAACCCGATCAGTATCTATCGAAAGTTCCAAGCTTTTTCGTCTCCCGTTTCCTTTTTCGGCATCAAATGGGAAGGAAGAGCATGGCGAGCTTGAAGAGAACCTCATCTTCGGTCGCTTCTCTGGTCCAATTCGCCTTCTTCAGCTCGCTCCCTGCTCCCGAAATTCAACCATCGAACGGCTCAAATCCCTCCTCAACGTCTCCGCGAAAGCCGAGCCCAAAAACCCGGAACGCGCAGAAGGGTTCCGTCAGTGGCTCGACCTACTCGTGTTACACTGATCTCTTGAAGTCTTGCATCGCCCGAAAAGCGTTGGGTCTCGGCAAACAACTGCATGCCCGCTTGTGCTTGCTTGGGCTGGGGTTTGATCCCAGCATAGCGACCAGATTGGTCCATCTTTACTGTGATTGCGACTCCTTGCGGCATGCCCACCTCCTGTTTGATAGAATTCCCAAGAGAAATAATTTTCTTTGGAATGTCTTGATTAGGGGCTACGCGTGGAATGGGCCTTACGAGGCTGCAATAACGCTTTACTACCGAATGCTCGAGCACGCGCTCTTGCCCGATAACTATACGTTTCCCTTTGTGCTCAAAGCATGCTCAGCACTTTCTGCAATTGGACAGGGGAGAGAGATTCATGAGCATGTTAAGAATACTGCGTGGGAAAAGGATGCTTTTGTGGGTGCAGCACTGATTGACATGTATGCAAAGTGTGGTTGTGTGGAGGATGCTTCTGCAGTTTTCAACATGATTCACAAAAGAGATGTGATATTGTGGAATTCGATGCTTGCAGCCTGCTCCCGAAATGGTTGCTCATATAAGTCACTTACTTTGTGCCGTGAAATGGCGTTGGCAGGTATAAGGGCAAGTGAAGGCACATTTGTCACTACAATTTCAGCTTCAGCTGACATTGCTGTTCTTCCCCAAGGAAGGGAGCTGCACGGTTTAAGTTGGAGATGTGGGTTTGACTCTAATGACAGGGTGAAAACTGCTTTGGTAGATATGTATGCTAAGTGTGGTTCAGTCAAGGTAGCCAGGACTTTGTTTGGGCTTCTTAAGGGTAGAGACGTCGTCTCGTGGAATGCCATGATTAGTGGGTACGCGATGCATGGTTATGCTGCAGAAGCATTGAATTTATTTGAAGAAATGCGGGAACAATCTTTCCCTGATCACATTACTTTTGTTGGTGTACTCTCTGCTTGCAGCCATGGTGGCTTGCTCAATGAAGGTTGGAAGTTCTTTGAATTGATGGAGAGGTATTATAATATAGTACCCACAGTTCAGCATTACACTTGCATGGTTGATCTCCTTGGTCACTGCGGTCGATTGGATGAAGCATGGAACCTGATAAGGCAAATGAAAGTTGTTCCTGATTCTGGTGTCTGGGGTGCTCTACTGAATTCATGTAAAATCCACGGTGAAATGGAGTTAGCTGAACTAGCTCTAGAAAAGCTGATCGAACTGGAACCTGATGATGCTGGCAACTATGTGATTTTATCTAATATATATGCTCAGGCAGGGAAATGGGAAAAAGTATCGAAACTCAGAAACTCAATGACAAACAGGGGAATAAAGAAAACTGTTGCATATAGCTGGGTTGAAGTGAAAAACCAAGTCCACACATTTCTTACAGGAGACACTTCCCATCCCATGAATGATGAAATTTATGCTGAACTGAAGAGGGTAGAAGGATTGATTAAAGAAGCTGGCTACGTCCCAGATACTGGATCTGTTTTCCATGATGTAGAGGATGATGAGAAAACTCATATGATATGTAGTCACAGCGAGAGGCTAGCAATTGCATTTGGACTCATTACTAGTCCACCTGGGTCTAGGCTTCTAATAACCAAGAATCTCCGAGTGTGCGAGGATTGCCATGTCGCCATTAAATTTATCTCGAAAGTCACAGACAGGGAGATCACCATTAGAGATGTGAATCGCTACCATCATTTCAAGAATGGAAGTTGTTCTTGTGGTGACTACTGGTAAATAACACAGCCAGAGGTCTGTTGACAATTTCATGCGTGACATTTGTTGCCTAGAAGAGTATCACTCAAATCGGGAATCAAGTTTGGATCATGGAAGACTGTGATGGACCAAATTTGCAGGATACTGGTATTATCCTGCTAGTAGAATTCAAAAATATCGAGGGAAAAATGAGATGTTCATCAGGAGCAATTCCAGAAAATTCACTTGAAGTGCTGGAGCCAAAGATAATCATTGTTTCTGTGGGTGCATGTTTACATCCCACATATCCATTTTGCTTGTATCTCTAATTTGGGGAACAAACGTAGGTTTTCTAGTGAATTTGGGGAATGGCATTCAGCAAGAATTCGCCTATGGCCTGGTGATGGTAATTCTTTAGTCATGTGGAGGAAGTATCTTCAGGAAAGTGATTTATATGTTTATTCAAGGTAATTGCTAATTGCTAGTCAACTGCAAATCAAAGCGTCACAAGTTGTCTCCCTTTCAGGTCCAAGAAGAATAAAAGATATCCCCTATCTGTTAGATCTTTCATATGGATTGGCGAGCGAGAGCATCTTTAGGGCAACGATTCCTGAATCTTGTGAGGCCTGAGAACTGATTGTGTTGTATAGGCGTATGAGGAATGGCGTTGGAGACATGAATTTTTCCCAACTTCGTTTTTCTTAATTGGCTTGGCTCTCAACCCGACAGCTCGTAAAATTTGTATGGGTATCTGCTATTTTGGTCTTGTCTGGTCAGGCAAGTCGTGCGACTTCTGATCAGGTTTATGGTGAGTACTTGCGTCGCAACTACATACTGATATATAGTCTAACTTCTCAGACATACAATATTTAAGGGACCAAAGGTGAAAATGTACAAAGTTTGTACCTGTACCCTGTATTGTGACTCCATATATTACTAACTTTTGTAAAGGATGTCAAACATCATGTTGCTCGACTAATTGGAGGTAATTCTTATCATCTTTGAACGATGGCCCTTTTTTTTTAATCAATCATACAATCAACACGCAAGGCTTTTCTATGATGGGATTGGAAAACATAAAGTAATGAGTTAGTCAAAGATGGCTGGTAGAAAATGTTAGCAGAGAGTTCCACCGGTTTGTGGTTCACATTAAAGAGGAGGTTGACTCTAGAGAGTTGGGCGTTTCCAACAACAGGTGAGAACAAATGTTGCCTGGTGGAATGGGCAAGGATGGAACGGCTGAGAATGAAGGCGATCCTAAAGCTGGCGAGCTTATTTGCACAAATTCGTCAAACCTTCAAGTAGATGACAACGGAAATCCATGGAGCACAGGCTTATTCGACTGCCACGAGCACAAGACGAATGGTAATAACATTAACCGATTCTAATTAGTGAAGTCCGTACATACTTCATCTACCGAAAGTTTTTGAAGAAGACAACTTCTCTGGAAATTTTTTAAGCACTACAAAATCTTCACATCCCAGTCATAGTTGATATAAATAAAGTTCTTGAAGAAGGAAGGTGTGATTGGCATTCTAAACTTGTGCTGGAGCTTGTGCTTCAGTAATCAAATGGGTAGGCTAGGGGAGTCCATGCAAGTTGGATCTGTACAGCAGTTGGCTCAGCCTCAACAGTTGTACTTCAAGATACAGTAGCAACTCCATATGGCCTTTCCCAAGATAAGTCGGCAATTCAAATGTTGGAAGGTATTGCTATGGGACATGTGTGGACTATGGGATTATTTGATTGCAATGAACATCCTATGGAAAACACATCAGACATCAAAAAATTTTTAGTGTCCTTTGACAGCTTTATTTTTTGTGGTAGAGAAACCATCTTCTCTGATGGCATGAGTATGATTACATAGCTCTCGCTGAATAAATCATGAAAGTTGCATAGATAATAAAAGCTGGAAAATTTTCTCCTATCATCATCTGTAATCTCCATGTGTATCTTAAAGGAGTACTTCCATTTGATGAAGTCAGAACATAGGCCGTTAATCAAACTATTAGAGGATAGAAGAAATTTATAGTAAGTTATGAGGGAAAAAGAAACTCTGACCGGTCAATTATGTACGAGGCTTTGCAGAAGTAGCAGCTGAGAATTGTATTGCCATTAAAAACATGAAGAACAGCTTATTCACATTCTTTTTGCACGAGACTCTCACTGATTTGCATTTGGAGTGATGGCGAATCATCAGCAGAAAGAAAAACTTGACTCCAACCTAACCCGATATCTAATCAACTCTTTGCAGCTCTTATGACAGTATGTTTCCCTTATGTGACCTTTGGGCAGATCTCGGAAGTACTAGATGCTGGAGAAATGAGTAAGCCCTCCTTTCTTTTTCGTAGCAATTCCTTGTTAATCTTCTATTCCTCGGAACACCGGTATATGCAACATCATCTTGTCATATAATATTCACTTCTATGTTGAAGATGTGAAATTTTTTATGTCTCCCTCCATTCTCTTCTCCTGTTTCTCTCCTATGTAATATGTTGTTGGTCAAAACATGCGCAATGTAAGCCTTATTCACCGATTAGTTTCTGGTAATTGCAGCTTGTCCTCTGGGAAGTTACATTTACCTACTCATGATGTCAGCTCTGTGCACTCAGTGGCTTATGGGCTCAAATTATAGAAGCAAACTGAGGAGGAGATACAATTTAGTTGAAGCTCCATACAGTGATGTGATTTCTCATATCTTCTGTCCATATTGTGCCCTGTGCCAGGAATTCAGAGAACTGAAGAATAGAGGATTTGATCCTTCTCTTGGTGCCTGTCAACTCCATTGTTGTTTCTCTGCCACGTGTTCTCCTCACACATTTATATGCATCTTGGCATCATGAATTTGGATAGTTATTTTTCACTATTCTATAAAAATATAAAAGTCATGGTTTGAATCTCAGTACAGAATAAAGCTTTATGGGGGGGATGATTATAGTATTAAAGGTGTATTTTAATTTAATTTTTTTTGATTGCACCTCATTAAATGAGAAAAAATTTGAGGAACAAACTTGCTAAATTACTGAGAAAGAGAAATTTTTACCATCATATATTTCTGCCTAGAACAAACTCTAAACTTGCTTATATGGCTTTTTACTCCATATCAAGTCGACTAATGCTTAGTAGAAAATCATCTTTAGGCTTTTAGAGTTAAATTTCTTTGCATGAAAAGGATAGGATTGAAATTAGAATTTTTGTATTAGTCACCTGATGCTGATTTAGATCTTTCCATTCATAGCTTGGGATAAGAGCAGCATGTATTTTTCTATGCTTTTAGAACTGAACTTGGACATCATTACTGGCAGAGACTATCCCAAAGTAGAAATTACAAATGACAATTTGAAACAGGGTTCCTTTGAATTAGTCATGCTTAGTCAATTTGGTCCACGGCTGCAAAGCTGAATGATGGATATTAGAAATTGAGTAATTGACATTAACAAGCTAGGATCAAGTTACATAGGTTCATTGCTATTGAACTCATGTCAAAACTAGAACATGATCTCGGGTGGATTTTGCGAATTGTATTTGCAGGATGGAATGGTATACTTGCCGAGCAAAGGGGGACTCAGTACACTGATCAGCAAATGAAGATTCCTCCTCCATATCAAGCCATGAAGAAGTGAAGAATGTAAAGCCAGAACAGAGCTAGTTCCCAATATTTTCCTTGTTCTATTATGATTTATGGTGTGGTCATGTCTGGAATTTGAAGATTGAGCATTGTGAACAGTACATACCAACTCTTCCCGTCTTTGGAAAGTAATGGGTATAGATCAGTAGGCATTCCCTTCCACTACAAGCAGTGTCGAGTTAGATTATCCTTTTGATTCATTGGCCGAGAATACCAGAGAGGAATTATAAACCCGCTAAGATATGGAGCATGTGGATCTAGCAACTGGCCTACGCAAGCCGGGTCCCTCAAGCCATCTGATAGCTTAGGAATCACCATTACATCTGAAAAGCACTTAACCCACGGAGCGCTCGCTCGGTTGCAATTGGGCTGGCATTTCTCCATTTGAGAACCAATCTTAGCTTTGTTTTCGTCCTTTCAAGTCATCAGAACATGCAGATCAAGTGAAGAAGCCTGCTCCTTGAGTGACATCAACATCGAAGGTTGCAACTTTTAAGAAGTTTCAGATGACAAGGACCGCAGATAATGCACCCCTATTTCAGATGTTTGTGGCTATGGAATCGACCTAGATCTGTTCGAACTGAAGAGACGATGACACTCCACTGAATCCTTAGAACGATCATACTTTTTGGGCCCTTGGATCCACACATGCCTCGCGACCTCGCATCCGTTCGATCATTCCGAAACCTATTTTGCACGGGCCAGATCTTCTCATTGCCCCAAACGTGAGAGCCCTTGTAGGACCACCGATGATTCTGACATGTTCAATGAAAGACCATATAATCCAAGAAAGCAGAGGCTCCAGCATTTCACTCTAAAAAACAGAAACTTCCTAGGAAGTCCTCCAAAACCACTTTTTCGGCACAACTTTTACCGTACGTCCAATTCCAGCCATGTCATCCTAACTTGATACAGTCCTCGTCAAATTAACAAACTCATTGGTAAAACAATTAGCACATTACAACTTCGACTGCTATTCGATTTTTATCGCCGCAGTTTATTTCAATCAAGTAACAAGGAATTTTCGCAAAAATTCAACATTTTCATAATCTTGACATCGATGGGTGCGTCGCAAAAATTCAACATTTTCATAATCTTGACATCGATGGGTGCGCCTTTGATCGGACCGAAGAGATGAATTTAATCTAATGCACAAAACCCGGCCTCGGACTGGCCGCAGCACCTGGCATATAGTTTTAGCGAAAAAGGGAAAGAAAATCGATCGACCCGCGAAGCAAGAGCCCTGTATCTGCTGCTAGACTTCCCATCTCGAACCCTCCATCGCCACCCGCAAATCCAAAAAAGCATTTGGAGACTTCAAAGCTCGTGCCTTTATAGAATTCAGACGCACCATATAGTGTCTTCCCTCTTATAAGCGAAGAAACAGAGCTTTTTTTATACTCTCGTGGTTCGTTTTCATGCATGAGAGTAAAGACTAGTAGCAAAGATCACCTAACCAGAAGACACGCCATCACAAGAACCCACCTGCACTTCCCCATTAATTGGATTCGGTCATACCCACCTAGATGAGCTCCCCATTAAAGACTCTCAACCACCACTTCCTGAAACCCATTCAAGCCTGTCGCTTATGCCACCCATGTTGGGCTTCTTCTTCTTCATCATCATTTAAGGCGTTGGGGCTGTCTCATCGTTGGTATCGGTATTCTGGTTTCTCTCAGTCTCGCTTTGCGTCAAGTGAGTGACTTTTCGATTGTTGTTTTCTGGGTTTATTTGTTTGTTTATAGAAATTGATTGTCCGCGACTGGATAGCTGGAAAGATGGCGGGTACGGGATGGATTTGAAAAAAAAGAACAGAGAAGATTCGGTTTCTGGGTCGTCTGGTGTTTGATGAAATGAGAATGCGGGTGTGACGTTTAATATTGCATGTTCAAGTGATGCTATCTTTCATTTTGTGGTGCACTAGGGGCTGAGATGTAATAGATTCAATTGTGCCTTGATACGGAGATGCATGTAGATCACAATGGCTGGTGTTGGTAAATGAAATTGTCGCCGTTTGATGAGATGGCGATAATTGTGATTCATGGGAAACCGTCTTTCTTGTTTCATCTGGTGTCTTAAGGTCAGTGTTGACGAGTGAAATCGAGGGGAGCTGGGATGAAAAGAAGTCTTATTTTACTTTTGTTGATGTCTTGTCCGATAGTCCCTTTTTGGTCACATTGATCACATTGCTTAACCTGTTGAAGCCTTGATCTCGTTGCCTGCTGTAGTTTTTCTATTTAGATTCCTCGGTTCCTTGTTGGACCTTAAAATCCTTCATATCCAATTTATCTATGACATGAAGACCATAATCTACTCACGAGGAAATTGAATTATCTCTAAAAGTTCGGTACTTGGACAAAAGTTATTGGGTATGCTGAGAAATTTGATTTGCATCCACTAGTTATTCGCCTCTATCAAGATTGGAAGATGCGACGTGTATTGTTGTTGGTATAAGGGTTCATATTTCCCAGCCTCGGTAATTTTAGACCTATGCTTGTGTTCTTAATTATTATAGTGTCAGAGTGGCCAATATGATCTTATGTCATTTCCAGGAATCATATTACATATCCATGGCAAATAAATTGATTTATTTGTTTGTCTTTGCTTGCTGTTTTCCATCCTTCCTGGTCTTAATGAACAGTTTTGCTTGTGTTTGCCATCCAGCAGCACATTCCCGTTCATTTATGGAGGTAGTCAAAGCAGCTGTCCAGCAGGGATCTACAGCTCGTGATAGTGTTGCCATTAGAGCCGACCAGAAGAGCTACAGTTACTTACAACTCATATCATCTGCATTCGATATCTCTAAACTGTTGTGTAGTGAGGATTTGAAAACTGTGAGTACTTGTTTTCATGGCTTATGGATTTTGCTTTCCTAATTCATGACCTCGCACTACATTATCAGTTCTGAAGCACCAGGATTTGTACGCTAGGTCAATTCCCTTTGTTTGTTGCTCATTGGAATTTTGTATAATATTCTTCCAAGAACCTTGCTAGTATGTTTTTACCGTCGCTAATTGTCAATGAAGCAGCAGAAAAAACAAATATTTATGAAGCAATTCACCAAAAGTGTGATTCTCTTGCTGTTCCGGCTTCTTTGATCTGACAATATGCTGTATTTTTTTCAATTTTTTTTTATTTTGGTCATCAGATTGATGGTCTAAGGAGAAATGGTTGTCTTAACGGGGCTCGAATTGGAGTTGTAGCGAGACCTTCAGCAGAATTTGTTGCTGGAGTGCTAGGAACTTGGCTTAGTGGAGGTGTGGCAGTTCCGCTGGCACTCAGCTACCCCGAAGCCGAGCTTTTGCATGTGCTAAATGATTCGGTATGAGTTCAATCCCTCTATTCCATAACTGGACATCTGAAGGGGCAATAGGAGTTGCTTGTACTTTAGGTGCAACAATATTTCCTCTATAAAATATGAGTTCATGCTTTCCAGCTTAAGACTTTTGCAATCAAGACCCTAATTGCCAATTCGAAGTAGCATAACGACGATGTTAAAAAGCAGTAATTGTTTCCTTAGGTTCATTTTAAAACATCTTCAAATTGATTTACTTATCATCTGCCATTATAGTAAAACGTGTACGTAAGCATGTTGTTTCTTGTGTTAACCTTGCAGAAGTATCTGATGGCTCTGTAATTTATAGGATGTTTGTATGATATTAAGTACTGAGGATCACCACAATTTGATGCAAAATGTTGCTGCTAAAGCTGCTGCCAAGTGTTCCCTCATTCCTCCTGTAGGCAGTTCATCTAAGACAAGCACACATGAGACTTTCCAGGAAAATTTTCAGTCTCGTGAGAGAGAAGGTGCTTTAGCTGTTAGAATTAATTACTTTCACTGTATATTCAGTGATATGGGTGGTTAGTCCTGAACTCTGTTGTTCCCAATGGTTCAGGTGAGGATCCAGCTTTAATCGTATATACAAGTGGTACAACGGGAAAACCTAAAGGAGTTGTACATACACACAAAAGCATCTCCGCACAGGTTATTATCCCTCTGTCATACATAATATGACATATAAAGTTCCCCATAGAACACTGTCTTTCAGCTCTTAAATAAATATTCAAGTAGATTTTGATTTCACATTTGTATGGATGTTGCACATGCGCTCTGTTTGGTTGCATAAGATAATTTTTTTTATCAAGAACAACGAAGTCTATCCAGATTTTTGAAGAAGCGTGTACGTCTTTTTCCTATTTAAATTGTTACTCACAAAAGCATACTTGGCTCTTCTTGCATTTTCTTGACCGTAAATGGAGAAGTGCCGATGAAACTAAATCCAAGCAAGAATTTAGTTTCTTTCAGTTAGTAATTGAAGCTATATTATACTAACATAATTCTTATGTCATCAAGATATAAATACATCAAAAAAATCCTTCAGAGAGGAATGGTTTATGTATTTTTGGAAAAGACTGTTTGTTTGAGCCATTTATGATCATATTTCAGGTCAAAACTTTGGCGGAAGCATGGGAATATACGTCTACAGATCAGTTTCTGCATTGTCTACCTCTACATCATATCCAATAAATGCCTTCTAAAGTTGCTTTTTAGAGAAACCAGTACTGATATATGTATTACCTTCTCTATTATTTATGATCTATCGAATGACTGTGATCTATCTTTTTGAGTGTTTTCTCTTAACTTTCAATACATGTTCATGGACTCTTCAACGCTTTACTTGCGCCTCTCTATGCTGGCTCCTCGGTAATATATTCTTATCTTAAATACTTGTTTTACTTTTGGAGTCCTTAGAGGAAACTTTTTTGTTTATGAAAGCACTTCTTTTGATTTGCTTTACCAACTCAAATTATTTGAATTTGGCTGCACTTTGAAGGTGGAATTTATGCCAAAATTCAGTGTGAGGGGAATTTGGCAGAGATGGCGTGAATCATATCCAGATGGAAGTAAAGCTGCAGATGCTATAACAGTGTTTACTGGGGTAAGCCTGCCTCATGTTTGCAATGAAATACTATCTTCCCCTACACTCAGAATAGAAAGTGATATATTGTGGATTCCTAGTTTTTCGTATTCTTAGCAAGTGGGACTCGATTTATTTTTGTCGATTTATTTCTCCTATCCATGTTCTCTCTCTCTCTCTCTCTCTCTGGTTTACTGTTGAAAAAAACTATATGTCAGTCTGTTGCAGTATACTGGATGCAGATTCTAGTAATTCGAGTAAAATGGCTGCATGTGTCATAACCTTTCAATTTCCTGATCAGTTGTTTCATGAAGAATTCTTTTCTATTAGCACTAATACACGGTCAACACCAATAAGTTATGTCGCTACTGTAGCATTAATCAAGATGCTTAGAGAAATGGTTGAACTGGCCAATTACTTCTAGCATAATTCCTCACGTCTCAAAAATGGGAACATATGATAATTGTATGCTTTTAGTTTTCAAATTCTTGCTGTTATATTATTACTGCAACTCTTTTAATTCATAGGTCCCAACTATGTACACCCGATTGATACAAGGTTACGAAGCTATGGACCCAGATTTACAAGCTCAGTCTGCTTCAGTTGCAAGCCATTTGCGTCTTATGGTAGGTGGTAAAAAATTCATCCACAAATCTGAGATTGGTTGGTTGGCTATTTTGGGTTCCGGTGATTTTTTCTCAAGTTAATAGAGAGATGACTAGTATGGGTATTGTTGCCTGTTATTAGACCTTTTCTTTTAGATGTATATGCTATCCTTTTCGCTTGTTTTCTCTTAAGTACTTGAAATTTGCTGATTCTTCTTTCCCCTTCATGACGTCAGATGTGTGGTTCCTCTGCATTACCATATCCTGTCATGCAACAATGGGAAACTATAACAGGACATCGCCTTTTGGAGCGCTATGGCATGACTGAGGTAAGCAATATTCTATGTCTCCTTTCCCCATGCTATCTATTTGTTCTTGCAAAGTAGAAATAACCAATCAAAATGTATTGTCACATAAATGTACGTGTGGTTTGGTATTTGCAGTTTGTTATGGCAATATCTAATCCTTTGAAAGGCATTCGAAAGGGAGGCACTGTTGGCAAACCTTTTCCTGGAGTAGAGGTTAGTCAGCGACGTGGCTCGTTTAATGTGGTAGTGGAGATCATGTGATGATTTAAGTTGAACCTATTAATTTGGAAGGTGTAAGCTAAAGATCCTTAAAATGGTAGAAATGTTGAAGGCTTTTCACCATAGCCAACAGCAAAGTTTTTGATTGAAAGATGGTGGTGAAACAGTGCTAACAGCATGTCCTACAGTTCGAGAGAGCCATTTAATCTCATGCTAACTGGTAATTATGAAAGTGTGAAAATTCTATGCTTTGATATTGATCTCGAGGGGAATTGTGCAATTATAATAGGTCAAGATCATTGCAGAGGATGAAAGTGGAAATGAAACACCTGGTGTAGGTGAGTTATGTGTCAGAAGCCCTTCATTGTTCAAGGAATACTGGAAGCTCCCTCAGGTATATCTATGAAATTCTGAATTTTTATCTATGGAAAACTAGAATGCCTGAAAAGGCTTTATTTATTAAGATATGCTCAGCATTTCTATCAGTAGAACCCTACTATCAAGTGAGTACATATTCCTGTCTTACTTAAACAAAATATTGACTAAAATTAGCTTTGGGAGACACTCACTACCGCTTCCCCAAAATGAGGATTTTCCTGAATGAATCCTATAAAAGTGTCCTTTTTTCTGATACATATATGTGATCCTTGTTAGGTAACTAAGGAATCATTCATCGATGGTGGATTTTTCAAAACTGGAGATGCTGTCAGAATGGATGAAGACGGGTACTACATCATTTTGGGACGTAAGTACATTTATATCTAGAAGTTGTTTCCCTTGTGTTTACAACAACTGTGTCATCTTGGAAATTTTTTACTATTGGCTGGAGTTTTCAGTTATTGAAATCCTGTTGATGTGTTATTTCATCGTTGTAGAAGTCATTTTGCATTCAATTAACGGTGCCAACTCATATCGATTTCTGACTCGAGAAAATTTTATGCTAACTCTGTTTAAATTATTTTATAATTGTGAACTTTTGTCAGGAACCAGCGCAGATATTATGAAGGTTGGAGGATACAAATTATCAGCGTTAGAAATTGAAGCGGTTCTTTTGGAGGCAAGCTAGCGTTCCTTCTGGTAGTTTTCTCTCACATCCGTAACGTTTGGACTCTGATTCTAATATCCAGGTGGTGCACCTTTCTGTTTGTGCAGCATCCTGTTGTAGCGGAGTGCTGTGTGTTGGGGTTACCAGACAGAGATTATGGAGAAGCCGTATGTGCAATAATTGTGCCAGAGGCAGAACTGAAGCAAAACAGTGGGGAAGAGTTGAAGCCTGCTTTAACACTGAATGAACTTACTACGTGGGCAAAGGATAAGCTTGCACCATACAAGGTTTGTCCATTCAATGCGCAGACATAATTTGGTGAATTCAACTGGTACTCGATTGTTAAAATTGGAGAAGATTCTTCATCTAGCTGTCTAGAATTCCTATGAGTCAACTTTGCTTTGTATGCCAAGTCTATTTAAACCAAAAGGCCGCATTAGAAAATGTTTGCTGGTGCATCTGGGGTCAAAGTAATGTGTGCACTTTCAATTCTCACACCACACAAACTTGTAATTATAAGGTAAAAGACTTATGACTACCTTTTTAGTGGTTCATCATCTTAACAGAAGACAGTTCACAAGTCATAATTATATTTCCTTAAGTTTCTTGCAGTTTGAGTTTCATGCCACCTTGCTTGTCTTTTTACAATCTATTGTCAAAGCCGAAAGTTTCCAAATGGTTGAACTTTATGAAGTTTTATGACGGGATCATTGCTTTGCAGCATCCACTTTTAGTTCCAAAACACTGCACAAGTGTTGCAGAAGATTAAATCAATGAGAAGGAAATGGGAATGACAGATTTATTGAGATTTGTCATTGAGTTAAGAGACACTTTCTTTGGTTGGATGTACTAAACCAATGCACTTGAATGACCCTCATATTAATATTATTGATGTTGCAGGAAGAGATTTTAATGTAACTTCGACTATTTCTAGCTCGAAAATATTAATTGGAATCTTGATTTTTAGTTTGACCGGAATCTTGATTGTTTATTTCAGCTACCAACCAGAATGTTCCTGTGGGACACCCTTCCTCGCAATGCAATGGGAAAGGTGAATTTTTTAACTGCTCTTTTGGTGCCAGAGTCAGATGCATGGCTTTTCTGTTATTCTGTGCTCCTCTTGAAAAAGGTAGTAGTAAATGTTTGTTCATCAATATTTCACGCGTAACTGTAGGTGAATAAAAAGGAGTTGAAGAAGAAGCTGGCCTCTGAACGGTAATCAGTTCATGTTGCTCAACATGCGGCATGACTCCGGAAAGAGTCAACTGGGTGACAAGGTGGTGTCATCTCTTGCTCTTCCCTTTTTGTTTCGGTTGATTTCTGGTTGAAGACTATCATTCCATCGGTTCATTTTTGTGCCTTGTAAAAGAATGACATTTGATTCTTATTCCTGGATTTTCAGGGCATCATGCGTGTTGAATAATTGAAGAAGATGGCTGGAGATACATCATCGCAGCACTGCTGCACGTCGAGTTTTAGGAGATGATTTTTTGTTTTGCTTTTGAAGTTCTTTTACTTGTCATTGCTGGGTTTTGACGTGGTATATCTAATGCTTTGAGACAGCTCTGCACAAGAGAAAAAGCTTCGTTATGCTATGATCAAATCATCTACAATAAGATGATTTTTTCTGTAAATTCGCGGCACAGCTTCTTTGATTAGCAGTCATGCGCAGGCGGGCAATAACTTGTCTGACGGAAACATGTTGCTTGATATTACGATGGCTATTGTTTAACTTTCACTTGTGTGCAGCATAAATAATTGTAGTTGAATTCACTCGATTTACATTAGTCTTTATTTAGATCTACTGCATCAATCCCAACAAGCAATTGGCATTCCTCAGCTTTCGCAACGGCGGAGAAGGCGCATACTCAAACGAATTTGTTGAAAGGGAAAATAGTTCTTTGGTCCAATGTTCTATTGGAATCATTGAAGATACCGAGTAAATTCATAAAATTGAAAACGTGAATGATTGGCATGAGTTGTTAAATAATTGGTTGGAGAAGGACAAGTACTTTTGGTAAAACTGGAATGAGAGAAGAACAAGTACTTAAACCATGGATCAAATTCATCAAAATTCAGGTAAAACTTCTGAAAAATGCGAAAGATTGTAATGTTTAGCAACCAATGGTACAACACGAGCATTCGAATTTTCTTTTGTTGCTGCAACTTAACAAATGGTACAACATGACCATCCAGCTGCTCCGCCTTTGGATGATCCTGTCTTATCTGTCTAGTCCATCAGATTGCTCAAGTTCAAGAAGCGGACTGCCGCCACTCCTGCAATGTGGGCGTAGAAACTCCAACATTCTTCATGTCGAAGATATTCGCTGTCCCAGAAGAAAAAAGAGAAATTTTGAATCAATCGTGGGACTATAGCAATCAAAGCATGAGCTGACAACTGAATCTAAACATTGCAGTCGAAAAAGATGATGAACTTTTCACAAGAAAAAGAAAGAAAAAAAGAGGGTCAATGACCTAAAATATTTTATCCCGAGGCTCACAAGACATCAGGGCAACACTTACCCATGTGAAAGACCATCAGGGCAGTGATCATGAAAATGAGGCTAACGAGGTTATTCTAGATAATCCAACGATGATTATAGGTTAAGCTTCGTCTAGACCTACCTACTGCTATCATTTCTTTCAAAGGAAGTATAGATAACAGGAAATGTTTTCTTTTTAACATCATACCGTGATGAACCTCAGGAGTAGCAGCAGCGGTGGCATCGACAAGTACAGTAACAGATCGGTAATCAAGTGCCACTGCATCAAAGACCGTCTGCCTAACGCAGTTTGGAGTTTGAACACCTGCAAATGTCGAGACCAAGATATTAATAATCTGCCACCGCCAATACATTACTTCAAAACAGTTCTTCCAAGACAGTGGCTGGAAAATTGACTTGACTCACCAGCCATGACTAAACTATCTATTTTAGCACCCTGAAGGACCGAATGAAGATGTGTTGCAAAGAATGCACTGAAACGCGTCTTCACCAATTTATAATCCCCTTCTCTAATCACCAAGCCATCGACCAATTCAGCACCCGCACTACCCTTGCTCATTGGACCCAACTTTCCAGACGAGTAGAAATGTCGACGGAAGAGTTCAACATCTCTTCCTTGAGAATCGTGCTCCCGAACCACCTAAAAGGGTACCAATAATTACGATCGCCATCGAGCATGAGAAAGCATACAAGTAAGACAACCTAGGATTCCTGCAAGTATGCTTTTGTCAAGTTCTTTAAAATCACTCTCGCACTCTTAAGGTATTAGAAAGGGTAAAAGAAAGCATTTTGTCCACATTCACGGTCACTGAAGGTTCACTATATCCAGATGAAGCGATTTACAGCTTCAGGTTGAACAAAATGGGGTAAATGGGGGGGGGAGAATTATGGCTTTTTAGAATCTTGTGAATGTTTCCCTTTCTCTGTTTATAACAAGCTTACAACAACAGTCCCAACTTTCGTTTTAAGCTCAGCATTTCAAGACCACACTAAACAGCATCAAAACATCATCTTTTTTTGAAGAGAGAACCGTTGTAATCCCAAGATTTCGGCAGATTTAAACTGGGAAAAGAGGGGACAAATCGGTACAAGATCGAAAAGGGTGAGTACCCAAACCACCAGAATGCCGCGACGCCGAGCTAATTCAACAGCCTCCATTACATTGGGGACAATGGCTTTCCCACCTTTGACCCACATCACGCTTCCCTCTTCTATAAAATCTTTCTGCCCAAAAACGAAAGGGAAAAAAACAGAGATGTTCGGGTTAGCGAACAAGTAACACGCGCCCACTTACAACGTTCGGACAGAATCATACAAAATCAGTGCAGTCGAGACAGAGGGAGAGGAAGAGACCTGCATGTCGATGACTAGCAGAGCCGTGCGCTTCCATTGATCTTCCATGTGTGACAAAGGCAAGCTGAAGAACCGGAGCTCAGAAGCAGTTTTGCTGAACTTCTTGTTGCAGAGGTGGTGGGTGTTGAATTTGATCTTATGATGGGAGATCAATGGAAGCGGGTGGTCCTTTTATTACTGCGTTTCGAGGAAGTATATCCACCAACGAGAAATGGATTTAAGAAAATTGGAAAATGCGTACCAAAAATTGTGCATTCGGAATAATTATCCAAAAAATCAGAAAATTATCGTGCGGTAATCAATTCAGTTATAAACTTTCAATTAAAATAATTTAATCATAAAATTTTTGATAATTTTGCCAATGCATTCCTCTCGCTCAAAGTTGATCGAAAATCAATGACGTGACCGGCACTGACGTCGGTAGCCTAATGAAGACCATATCTATTGTCTACGTGTGTCAAGATTTGCAATCAAGCCTTTCAGCGGACCATCATCCACCATCGTTTTTTTTTTTAATCCCAAAACATTTAATTTGTTTATCTCGGCATTCCTTGGTCAAATGAGGGACAATACATCAACATTATCTATATGTTGCCGTCACCGCCCCCTATCCATATGCTTATTTTTAAATCACACAGATTAATCTTAGATTCTATGGTGCCGCCTTAGTCTACTCTATACGTACATAAAAATAGTTAAATTCTCCATTATATGTGTAGTTGCTAGAAAATATTAATCTATCGTCATTATTTCACCCGGTCCCTGTCAATACTGGATGAAGAAGAGGAAGAACACAATCCTTTGGAAGATCGATTCAAGGTCCATATGACAGCTTATGGACATTTCTTTAATTTTTGTTTTGACTGCGTTCCTTTGTTACTTTGCATAGACACGACCAGTTAAAATTCTATACATGTTCTGTGTTTTTCTTTTCACCGTGTGATCCGAATAAGAATTAGCATCTTTATTTGAGTTGAGATTTTCAATTCTTCTGCCAAATACAATCGTATCGTATATTTTCTCTTTGGCCAACCCTGGATTTCCAGAATTCATGGACAGAAACTAATGTAACTGATCTTACCCATTCCCCACTCCAATCTGGATTAAATTTAATCCCCAGCAAACCAATTAATACCACCAAAAAAAAAAAAAAAACCCCTCCACTTGTCCCTCTCTTTGCACATCCAGAAGAGGGTAAATAATGGTTTCGCTTATAATGCGGGGCGCTTTATGGTTCCGAAACGACCGCATTCTTCAGTGCGTCAGTTAAAGCTGCTGCAATGCACCCTTGCTCCCGCTGGAGTAATCATTTTCCGGAGCTTGTACTTCCAACCGATTCGCTGTACCGTTGCATCGCAACAACCGGTTCACCACATCGGGAACATCGGAACGAAGGAGCTGCTGCACATCGAGTTCTCAGACAGTAATAGCAGTACCTGCCATTAGTTAAACCGAAAATTATGTAAATTCAATGCCCCTTGATACGTTGGAGGCCTGTTTAAAACAGGCTGGACAAATTCGATTTGACCTGTCTAAAGTTTGTGGATGAGAAAAGAGCTGAATGCAATGCAAAAGTGAGAAGAGGATGTGCATTTGGGTTTTTGTACCTGTGTCGACATGGAAGAGCAAGAAAGGGAATGCTTGGGCTATTTTGGCAAATGGGGCATGTAGAGTCATCTACGGCAGAGTCTGCATCCTTGTCCTTTGAAAATGGGTGGAGGAGATTTTTTACAGTCGAGGAATTCAAAAGAGGAAGAAGCAATAGCAACATTTCCTGCACATACGAGTTCACGTTTAGACCAACAGAAACTTATTGGAACAGCTAAGTGTATTGTGCTACTTTCAAAATAGAGTTGCCACAGAAAGCAGCGAAGTCGTATTAGTGCCTCTTCTCTCCTGAAATGCTAACTTTTCCCCAGTATCTCACTTCACACGTATTACTGGAAATCACTTGCAAAGGCTGACTGCTTGTTTATGCACACCCACTTTGTACATAACCACAATATAACATAGCATAGCATATGTACTCTGTTAATATGAGGGGCAGATATTGCATTTAAAACAACAGCTTCATATCACCACCACAAGAACAACAACAAGACCAAGGCCTTTGGCCACCAAGTTGGGGAAGGGATTAATAAATATTTAAAAATTAGCAAAAAGAAAAGAATGAGAAGGATCATAAAAGAGCTTTCCTATTAAATTACTAAAGCAATGAATGAGGTCCTTGTGTATTTCCTAGACTGTGTTGATGTATCCCTTTCCCCCCTAATTAATAGATATCAACTTTAGCCAAAACAAGGAAGAAATATTACCGAAAATTCATTCCAGACTAGTTGGCGATTCATGTACTCAAAGCTTACGGCTCGATTCATGTTTGGGCTACCATAGACAAGCCTTGCTTTCAAAGCTCTCTCAATAAGAGTCCTATACCTGTAATTTAACAAAACATGAAGATTATTATTCCAACAGGTAATATTGTGAGAAATATTTCCGCATCCTGAAATTAACTGTGCCAGTGGATTGCAATCAGACCTTTTTTTTTTTTGGTGGGGGGGTCCTTGATTGCAATCAGACTTGCAATGCAAAAAATCTACATAAAAGGACATATGACTAGGAAAGAAAACAAGGAAAGAAAATTACCCCAAATACCCTAAATTACAGATGCACACCCAACGAAAAACAATCCTTCCCATGAAAAATCTTTAATGCTTCACAGTGCTCATCGTAGCCATCATCATGGTCATTTTTCATACCATTCTACATGCTCGGGTAAATGAAAAACCGGAGGAAGCTATTCTGATTTCTGGCATGCTTACTAATGTCTTAATAGTCACAAATCTTCAGCATCATATCTACTCCATATTTATCCTTCAAGTTTTATATGAGCTCAAGTTTGCAGCCAAAATGCCGCATCCCATGTTTGGAAATGAGTTGCCTACAAAAGAGATGTCAATGCCCGTGGAAAGCTAGAATTTCATGGGATTTTATGACTTTCTCATCCCAATGCACAGCAAGGCCTACATTTCTTGAAATTAGGACAGGGAGAGTCAGTGGATTTCTTCAGCAAGACTTCACACTGTATCTTTAAACCAGTGTAACTAATCATTCCAACAGGTAACTACCATCAACTTATTCATGCCATTACCCATAGTTAGTTCTTGCAGGATGTGTACCAGTGATGAAAACCATTGGGCTCTAGCTTTTAGAACTTAGCAGCAAAAGAGTGTTTGCTGCCCAAGAACTTACCTTCCAGTGTAAAGAAAAATAAGTAGGTTGCCAAATGAGGCAGCTTTATAAAATCCTTCCACTCGTTGTACCAAAACCCATGCCCACCGCAACAATGACCTCTGTAGATATGAGAGAGACACCTTAAACTCAATTAAATAAATTAATACACAAGGAATAAATAAAGATATATTAACAGATATAATACCTGCTCAGAATTACCCCATCTACGAAAAGCAGAGAATGACTGTAAGCGGGCCCAGATATATTGACCACCAACACTGGCAACGCAATACCAAATCTTCTGAGCAACAGTAAGGCCAGGTCCTTCCAGGCCTGTTCTCACTGCGAGAAAGTTTGCCAAAGTTCAATAGTGTGTCCAAACATATAGGTTAAACTGATCTACATGTGTCATTCTTACCTATTCATAGACTAATTAGAGAAAAGATAGTTTAAAATTAAATTGGATGAAGAAAAACTAGAAAGTTGGCGAGATAAGTATTCACTGGAAGTTGTGACATCTTGCAACTAAAGTCGGACAGTAGCTAGGAAATTATATGCTAACTCCTGTTGCTCACAGGTACAATCCCAAGTGAGTGTCAAGGCTGTCAAGTAGGAGCAAAATGGTAGAGCCTATGATGACTCGATGATATATAAAAGAGTGTTCTCTTCCTTGAGTATTAGTACGCAGCAGAATAACAATGTCTTTTCAACACTATGATTATCGCTCCTTAAGTAGATTCGCAATGAATGCCAAGAAACCATATTGATCAAGCATGGATCATAGGGAAAGACATAGCAACTTACGCTTTCCTCTTGCTTCGGTTGCACGTTCATCTCGATATCTCAAATTCATCAAGGCAATTCCAGGAGTGGGCTTATCTACCCAAATGGAGAATCTCCATATGAGGAATTCAAGAAAGGCATCAAGTTCGGGTTCATATTGAAATAACATTCCTGGCTAAACCGACAAAGGGGGCAATTAGTTCAAGATGCATATTACACAACCTCAAGCAGATGGGGGGAAACTACAAAAAAAGCAGCAGGTACCTTCATCAAGGAGAAGACTTTCACCAACTGCTCTTTCAACATTGCTGACATTTCTACATCGAGTCTTGCAGCATCAAATTGATTAACTCGCGATATGGAAATTGGAATCAATGCCTGCAGCATTATTTATGTGCAAACTATATAAGATCGCGACGAGCATGCCAGAAGGTCGGGCATCTTATGCTTCTCTGGCATATGGCAAATAGAAAGTACACAGAATAATCCTCCAAAAAAAACTAGCACCACATATAAAAGAGAAGCGAAAAAGGAATGCCATCAAAATCTTGCCGTTGGACGAGGGACAATCTATTAACACTTCAATTCTAAGCCTATTGCCGCAAGAATTCAACCACTAGACCAAGTTGAAAAAATGAACTTTGCGTACGCTGAGCTCGGACTTGAGCTCACCCAGAATCAACACGGCCACAATTCCCAAGATTCTAACTTTTTTCCTCTCAGGCTTTCAGCACAGAGGGGGAGAGAAGTCACGAGAAGCGTCAATTTTATTCAAATCGAACCCCAGCACAATGCTTCGGAGCACGAAACTCCCCGCGCGAATCCGTCGTTTTTGGCGACAAAAGTAGAGCCGTGAAAAAAACGGAAGGAAAAGGGCAACGACGGAAAGAAACCTCGTGGTACTTGCTGACGGGTTGCCACTGAGGTTGCAATCTCCGGTAAGTGCCGACCCAAGCATCTTCCGGCGGCGGCGGCGGCGGCAAATTGCCGGTGCTGCTGCTGCTGCTGCTGCTCATTCGAAGCTCTTCGCCGCCGCTGCCGCTGCTGTTAGCAGCAGTAGCGGTCGTAGGGTTCGTCTCCGTTCCGATTGCTCAGACGACGACGACGACGAAGAAGAAGATGAAGCTGCCGAGAGAGAGAGAGAGAGGTGGAATCAGCTCCGAAATATGGCGGAAAATGGAAGATGACGATGACGACGCTTTGCTTTGGGCGGCTCCTCGAAGGAAGAAAAGGCGAAAAAGGACCCCCAAAAACTATTTTGGGGGTAAATTTAGCTGAACCGCTTTTGCTGGTGAGGAAGGCACCTTCCCCTTCTCGACGAGCTTCTTTCTTAGGTTGTCTATTGGTCTTTTAAGAATTTAACGATTAATGAACATTAACTTTAATGTGGGAAAAAAAGCGGATCCAATTTAATGACATGCTATTCACACTTTCGACATCAACATTCTCGGATAAATACTTATAGGTAAGCAAATTTATTTTAAAGATAATGTGATAATCGAAATTATGATATTTGCGTCCAATTCACATGCTTTTTTTTTTTTTCTCTCATCGATTTTATTCTCTTTGATCCTAGTTCTTTTCTTAAAATCGACTTTAAAAGCAAAGGTCGGCCTAGCGGTAAAGGCTTCGGGAACAAATCTCCAAAAGACTCTTGCTATATTGCCTAAACTTGCGACCTATCTTACATGGAAATACTTCCTAACCGTTAGCATCTTAGTCGGGTTGTATTGATAATCTCGAGATTTCGAATAATGAATGTTGTTAGTTATTGATTCAGATAAAATATTCTATGGATCTTTATGGTATTTTAATTTACCGATTTGACTGTTATCCATAAAACATCAAGAGCCACAAAACACTAAAATAGATTCTCATGACCATGAAGGTTCAAGATTCCAGTCATTCGACTAGCGTATAAATCAAGAATTCAAATATATCATCACTTTACAAAACAATACGATAAAGCTAGACTCTCAACACCTCCCTCTCTTCTTGATCGGCTCCACCGTCGCGATGGCCGCCGGCGGCGAGGCCGAACTCCCCGTCGATCTCGTCGGCCAATCCCACCTCCCCCATCCTCCGCAGCCCCCGGCTCAAAACCTTGGCCGCGTGATCCTCCACCTTCGCCCCCGGTCCCCACCCGCCGCTCCCCCTCATCAGCCCGTACATCCTGACCGCCGATTCCCTCCTCCCCGCGCCGATCACCGCCTTCAGCAGCCTCGGCAACGCCTTGTCGCCGCCCCAGTCGACGGGGCCTTCCTGCTCCAGCTCCCCCACCAGCGCGTCGATCTCCTCCCCCATCCCCTGCCTCGCCAGCGCCGACGCCACGTCGGCGTAGATGGCGAGCTCGACGGGCCCGTACTCGGACCGGACGACGGCGAGGACCTGGAGGGCGAGGGCGCACCGGTCCTGCCGGAGGAGCTCGCGGAGGGCGGCGAGGAGGTCGGACTTGAGGAGGCGCGTGAGGGAGCGGCGGAGGTGGGAGGGGAGGGCCGTGGCGGCGGCGGCGGCGGGGTCGGCCCGGTGCGCGCGCTTGAGGGACTGGACGGCTTGGATCGCCTCGGTGCTGAGGGTGCGGCCCTTCACGAGGGGCCCGCGCTTGTCTCTGGGGCCGCACCGTATGGGAAGATGGCCGGCGGCGGCGGCGGCGGCCGGGGGAGGGGGTTTGCGCGGTGGCGGGTTGAGGGAAGTTGAGGGGATGGAGTGGAGAGAGAAGGTCGCGGTCATGGTGGTGTGCGGTGGTGATGTGCGGTGGTGATGGAAGGGAGCGGGGGGCTTTCGTATGGGGTTTAGATATTAATGTGCGAAGTGACGCTTTTGCCACTGGGAAGTTAGAAACTTAGAACTGTTAAGGAGAGGAGATAAGGACAGAAATGGGAAAGGAAAAGATTGAAAATTGGGAAAAAAATAAAATAAAATAAAAAAGCGTCGACAGCAGGATTCGAACCTGCGCAGGCAAAGCCCAACAGATTTCGAGTCTGTCTCCTTAACCACTCGGACATATCGACATTCTTGATATAACCGCCAATTATAAGCATTATATTGTATAAAACCTTTACCTTTTCTTATTTTTCACACATGAGTGATGTTACACGTAGAAATTTGTTTGCACGATTGATTTACAGCATTAATACGAACTATAATAATTCATATTCCGCACACAATAACAAATCATCAATCTAAATTGATTCTATAGCTCGATATTTATTTAAAAGTGCCACATTGCTTTAGGTGATTTTTTAGAAAGTTTGTTTTATCTATCGATGTCATGATATATATTGTAATTGGTGTTGAATATCGCCATCAATGCTCTTATTATTGCCGATGATGGAGGCATACTCTTTCATTGCCTTTGGCAATGGCACTTCTGGCAGCGTACACTTTCATTGCCTCCGGCAATGGGACTTCTGGCTCTCACTGGCCATGGCGACCGTGGGCAATTTCTTAGTTACCAAGTTGGTAGACTTAACTAGTCAGGTTTGGGCACGAGGTCAAGATTGCCAACACTGTTGCCTAGCAATCCTAGTGGGCCACAGGGGAGTGATCAAATGCGTCGCGGCATATCGTGGAGGATCGATGTCATCGTCCTTCGATAGGGCTGAGGGAATGGCCAATTAAGTGGATACCAGTGTTGAATGATCTTGAGTTTCTCTCCCAAAATGGTGAGGTTTTTCATTAAACTTATAAAACTAACTAACTACCCCTTGCACAATCGATGTGGGATAACCCCAACATGGAAGGTGACTAGTAGTGCGAATAGCTGTGCAAGAGATTGTTTACCGATTACTTTGAACTTTGAAGGTAGCAATTTTCACTGTCTAGCATTAGAAAGTTATTCATGTTGGTAGATTTGTACAGTACAATGCTCCTAATGCGCATTTTATCGAATAGTATTTCCTTATCAAGTTTTTACATAGAAGACGACATATCTTTATTGAGGTCCTGCGAAGTCGAGCTCCTGTTCCTAGAAAGACATGTTGCCAGAAGCCGACACCGAAGAAGAAATCTAACCGTAAAGAATCAAAGATTCGAAGCGACATATAATTAACTAGACTAATGAAATGGTTTGGAATCGAATTACATGTCCATCAGGTATGTTTGCATTGCCAAAACCAGTGACTTATCTTCTCCAACACGTGAGTGAATCGCTTGTGCATGGCCTTTGTCTCTTCAGGCTGCTGGAGGTTGCATCTCCATCACCGTACCAGCATCGCTTGAGTAACTAGTTCTTCCATGCCAAGACCCCGACGCCCTCTTCAAGCACCGGTACACGGCGAACAGAATCAGCTTAAGACCCAAGATTATGCACAAGATGACCAGAGCGGAGACCACGTAATCTTTGAAAGATCGGTGATGCTTGCACCCGAAAAAGACTCCCAAACACACCATGGCTACGATGAAACGAGGTTCCTCACGTACGAGAAAACTCGAGCTCACGATGACTCGTGCAAGATATTGCCTCGTGGCTATAAGAGGAGGATGTTTGTTGGGGGGGCTGTATTCTTGCCTTGGATTTGCGACAACTGTTTGATCACTTCTCTGTCAAGTTTGGTATCGTTCAACATATGCAGGTGAGAAGGTTAAATTGGAAAGTTTGGAGAAATGGAGAGAGAGATGATCATACGTACCTCTGAGGATTGAATCTCTTTAGCTTTTCTTGAACCTTTTAGTTGCTTCAGGCCTTCAACCTCTTTGGACTTTCCCTTATCAGTATCTTCGAGTGTATCGTTTACACACAAGGAAAAGGGATCATAAGTCTAATTGTGGTCCTATGTATTGGAGCATCTCTTTTGATTTCTGCTCGGTACTCTATGCATTTCTCTTTCTGCAATCCATCTCTGTCTCATTTGCTTTGTATTGCTCTTTTGACAAGCTTCTTTTGATTGGTAATTTTGGTTATTTTGCCACTAAATACACTATAAGACCCATCGAAAATGCTAACTTGATATGGCTAATCTTGTGATTTTGACATGTGTTGCTGATGTTGCATTATTATCTACGCAGTAAGGGAAAATGACAAAAATGGTTCTTAAACTTTGGTTCAATGTGCAATGTCGCCCATGAACTTTTACTTGTTCAAAATGATCCATGAACTTTGGCTCAACGGGCAATATTGCTCTTGAACTTTTAATTTGTTTAAAGTGACCATTATTAAGTATCTTCGAGTGTATCATTTACACACAAGGAAAATGGATCGTAAGTCTAATTGTGGTCCTATGTATTGGAGGCTTGGAGCATATCTCTTTTGAGTTCTACTCAGCGCTCTTTACATTTCTCTTTATGCAATCCATCTCTATCTCATTCGATTTGTATTGTTCTTTTGACAAGCTTCGTTTGATTGGTAATATTGGCTATTTTTGCAGTTATACGCTATAAGAGCCACCGAAATGCTAACTTGATATAGCTAATCTTGCGAATTTGACATGTAATGCTAATGTTGCACTATTACGTTGTTACTTACCACGGGATAATTATCAAAAAAGTCTTAAACCATATTATATGGATGCCGATTCAATCTTAAACCTTTCAATTTTACCAATTTAATCCTAAACATTTTGACAATTAGCCAATATAGTCATTCTTGCCAATTTTGGTCAAAAATCGCTCACGTAGACACTAGCCATCCTACATGACACAGCCAACGTTGATGTTAACAATATTTTTTTCAATTTTTGAATTTTTCCTTTTCTTTTTTTTTTCGCTATGACTAACAAGGGTTGCCGGAGCTCGCCCCCTTCTCTTTTTTTTTACTTTATGGCTAGAGAGGGTTGCTGAGGCTCGCCCAGGGAAAAAAAAGAAAATAAATAAATAATTTAGATTTAAAAAAAAACACAAAAAATTTGTTCATGCCATCGCCGGCCGTGTTACGTCGAACAATCGGCGTCCATATCACCAATTTCCAGCCAAAATTGACCGGAAGGATTATATTGGCAAATCGTCAAAAGATTGGCATCCCTACAATAAATTTAGAATTTCTTTGATAATTTATCCCTACTTGCTACATTTGCATCTCATGAGAAAATAATTGTAATTTGCCTTTTTTTTAAACCAAATTCATCGTTCACACCAAGTTAGAGACATTTGAAGCATTCATATTGCTCATAGGCCAGGGTGAACCTTCATGTTTGATTTCAAGTAAAAAGCTATTCCTTACCTTCCCTAGCTAAATATATCCTTTATTTTTTTTTTATCTCTAAACTATTAGAAAAAGATGTCAAATTATTTCAAGTGAAGGTTTTAAATATCCATTAAAGATCCATTTGTTTCCCAAAAAATAAATAATTTGAAAAATATCTTCCTAAAAATAATAGCTCATATCGCTTGAAATAATTAATTAATGAAAATATTTTTAAAAAAATGAAAAATGTTTTCATTATCACAACAATTTATGTCTAAATATTTTCATGAACAATGAAAATATTTTCTAAATCATTTTTTTTCTGCAAAATAAATTTTGTTTCATTGAAAACTTCATGATAAAAGAAAATATTTTCCATAAAAATCACTTCTAAAAAAAATTTAGTTTTCATATGTTTGGTAGTTTAGAAATAGTGAATTCTCTCTTCCCAAAAGGATAAGTTGTTTCCCCCAATTTAAGTTTTGTTATTTTCAATTCATTGAAAATATTTTCCACACATCAATTAATTTTCTTCATTCAAATATCGAAAAGTCAAAAAATAATTTCTCAAAAACAGTCTTCCTTGTTCCTTCAATTTCGCAGAAAATATTTTCCAGAAAAACATTCTCATTTTTCAACATTTGGTTCACTTAGGAAAATAAGTCAATGAAAAATATTTTCCTAATCAATGGAAAATGTTCTCCAGTTTATGCTTAAATCCACAAAAATGATTTCCTATTTAAAAAATAGGAAATCATTTTCGAAAATATAACTGAGTATCAGCGCTTGAACTCGAAATTTTATGCTTAGGCATGAAAACTCCAACGCTGCATCTTGGGTTCTTGGCGTCTATAACCAGGTCTCTGGTGTTCAGGCACGGGTCCATTGAGGCCCATGATCTCGGAACTCATGCTCGGGTCCCCGACGCTCGCGCCTGGGTCCATCGAGGTTGAGCTTAAGAACTCAATGGTTGCGCTCAGTTCCATCGAGGCGAGCCCAAGACCTAGGTCCCCATGCCTTGATCTCAGCGCTCAAGTTGGGGTCCATTGATATCGGACCATAACTCTAGTGTAGACATGGCCACGGTGCCGGTTCGGAACCGGCGGTTCCGGTTCGTTGCTATGTATGCTATGAACCGGCGGTTCCGGGCCGGTTCCGGTTCCGACCGGTTCCGGTTCGAGGGGGGAGGAGGAGAAAAGGGGAGGAGGAGCAGGGTAGCGAGGGGGGAGGAGGAGTAGGGTAGCGAGGGGGGAGGAGGAGGGGGCGTCGGCGTCGGCGGCTGCGGCCATGGGCGGGGGCGACGGCAGCGACGGCGGCGGGGGTCAGATCTGGAGAGACGGGGGGCGGGCGGAGGAGAAAAGGGGAGGACAGGAGGAGGCGCAGGGGAGAGGGGGGAAGGAGGGATTTGGAGGAGGAGGACTGGAGGAGGTGGGCGTGGGTGGGGGTGGGAATGCTCCTCGGCCTGGAAGGAGAGGCGTTGGTGGTTCATAGCCTGGGTGTAGAGCTGGGAGAGGGAGTTGGCGGCGCTGCAGAAGGAGGAGTAGAGGCTCCGATCCACCTCGTCGAGGCGGGACGCGACGGACTTCCTCTTCTTCGCCATGGGCGGATC